AGAAATCATCCATTTCAAACATCCCAAAGTACAAGACATGCCTTGATTTTCATAAGCCTATTTCCGCTTTTAAAATAATTCCCTCGAGCTGAAATGTTATGGCAAAAATTCGATCAATGCGAATAATGTATTGCATATTTATCGGGATAAATCAGGCATTTAAGGGAAATAACACTCGACTTGATTTTCAAACCTTATTTTCGTTTCAAAAAATATGAACTCATTTTCGATGAACCATAATACTTTTTTTTTAATCGCCTGATCCTCTGCGGAGTTATTCGAAGAATCTGCGTCTCGCATTCAATTACGTAAGCTTTTAAAGCTAAAGTAAAACTATTGCATCGTTCAGCAAGTCAGGATTTCCCGGATGTGAACACACAGGAAAGCTGGGAGTGAGACAATTGAACGAATTTCTCCAAGGCTAAACCCGCGGCTTTTATTCTCTACCCCTCGTAACAAATTAAAGCGTTGAACAAGGGAAATCCTAGGACACGGTTGATTATTTTCAGGCCTTAGAATTCAAAGCGTTGCCAACACAAATCTTTAGACCAGTGATTCGGAATTTTCCATCCAAAGAATCAACACTGCGCTAAATTTCGACTCGAGAAATTTTTCCAAACTGAAATTGTCCCCGTAGCATTTTCAAAAAAAAATCTGCATTCTTCTTTTAATGTTTCCAATTTAATTGCGGTGATGATTAATTCCCGCCTCATCGAAATCCTAGAAAAACTTTTCCCAATCAGAAAAGGCGTGAGTTTTCTTACAGGTAAATATCCAATCTCGAAAATTTCGTGACAAAATCTGGAAAAATTGTTAAAAGAAGCGAATTCAAACAAATTCAAGGACCCGGATACACTTTTCTGAAAGGAGTCAGAGACAAAATTAGTTAGAAATTCATCCAAGAAGAAATTACAAAAAAATTCGGCCGTAATTTAAAATTACATAAAATTCAGAACCTTGTTGCAACAAAAAAAACAGATAGTGTTTCTAATTCAACGCAGATGCAAAATGCCTCAAGCATAATAATAAATAATAATAATAAAATGTGAATTTCGTACACGAAATATGAATTCTGTTTACAGCACGCACCGCAATATATTGTGTTCCCAACTTGTCCCGTGCGTCCGAAACTAGAAAACACTTCAATCTCATTTTCGTATTCCGTTGTATTGGATTTCAATACAAAATACTGGCGTCGTTTCAAAGTCAAGTTTCAATATGCCTGATTTATTCCGAAAGACAGACGAGTCACTCGCACATGATCCGATTTTTTTCGTCTCCACTGGGAGGAAATAAAGTAAAATTTAAACGAACAGACGCTCGAAAGTTTCAACAGTGGCTTTTAGAGCACCATATTCAGAGGACTGAGTCTGGTTCCTGAAGTATTTCATTTTTTTTAAATTTTGTTTATCGTGATACAATTTACTCAGATTTTGCAATGGAACATTCGCAACAGACCGAATTTCCACCTGAAGGAAAACTGGACGTCTTTTCTGATGGGAAAATTAAAATAAAATATCTGTGGGTCGGAAATCAATCGTCACCGCCATTGTATTTTATTTGAATTACTTTTAAAGAATACCGCGATACTCGAAGGCGAACAGTTGGTTTTTAGAGCAATATTCGAACAACTGAGTCTGGGTTCTTGATCGTTTTTCTAATTTTTATCGTAATACAAATTACTCAGATTTTGCAATTAAACATTCAAAATTCACTGGATATATAACCCTGTAAGAAAACTCGTCTTTTGCTGATGAAAAACGTTCTTCTTGAATACATGTGTGTTGAAAATTAATCGTCACCGCAATTGCATTTTATTTCAATTATTTTCAAAGAATACCGTGATACTCGAGGGCAAACAGTTGGTTTTTAGAGCACCATTCAAACAAATGAGTCTTGATTCTCAATCGTTTTTCTAATTTTTATCGTGATACAAATTCCTCAGATTTCGCAATTAAACATTCAAAATTGACTGGATTTTCACCCTGTAAGAAAACTCGTCTTTTTCTGATGAAAAAAAAACGTCTTTCTGAAATATCTGTGTGACGAAAATTAATCGGCACCGCAATTGCATTCAATTTTTATTTGTTAATGAATACTGTGTCACTCGAAAGCGAACAGTGCTTTTTAGAGAACCTGAAAAACGACATAAATTTGAGAAAGTGTTTCAAAGATAAACCAGATTTTACAGGACCAAAATACGAAAAGAAACACGCTTTTTTGAGCAGCGACACTTGACGAATTCTTCCAATTCGCCAATAAATAAAAATATCTTTGTCAACTGTTCAACGACATCAAGTGTGTGATGCATTATTTTCTGGCTCGCTGTAGAAAGAACGCAAACTTATTAAATTTTCAAAATGTAATTCATCAGCTCGAGTTACCGTTCGAAACGACGAAACATGGACAAAATTAATTTTTTTCTTTTTCAATTGACAGGAAAAGCACTCCGAAAGTCAGATATATTCAAAATTAAATGCATTCGAGCCGAGAAGTGCTTTGACAGCAATACAAAAAAACTTCGTCGTCAAATTTTTCCACGTTGAAGAAGAAAATTCTAGAAAAATCTGAGGATAAATCTTCGTTACATAACACAACTCTTCGACGAACCACTTCATTCATATCTTCAACACACACAAAAAAAACAATCCAATTCCTCGTTCAGAAGCCCTAGTAATTAACTGAAGTCTAAACGATTCCGTTCACTCGTTAAGGATATAACACATCAATGGGCTTGAAGAGTTATCTCTTTATGTCATCATTGAATCCGTTTCACTGGTACGACAAGCGGTTGACCATGCGTTTCAAAGATATAATTATTAATGCAAAAAACAATTACCTTGATTCACATTCAATAAAAACTAGAGTACGATTCCCCACCGATTTCCGTCTCCTCCCAACGAGGTTAATTTCAACCAACGGTACTCAAATAGTCCCTGTATTTGATTTTAAGCAACCAGAGTCCCTTAAATCAGATTAATTTGGGTTGAGTCACATTTCGGTGAGCACGAAGTCGCCGAAGTCAGGATTTCAAAATATTAAAAAAATCCTGATAAATCAAGAGCTGCTCATGTAAATCTTGACTCAATGTTTGAAAAATTTGGGCTCAGAGAACCGGTACCCATTGAAAAAGTCATTGAAACGTACTAAAAAAAAACCTCTGAAACGTTTCTCACATACTTTCACTGATGATCCAAATTTAGAAACAAGTAAGAAAATATTCGTTTGAACTTTCATAAATCGAAAAGGAAACAGAACCTCAGGAAGATTCAAATTTAAAAATACACAAAGCTCCAAAATCAAAATCTCAAAAAATCCAAACCAACACAAAGACAATCATGAAATTTGCGAAAATAAACCTGCAACAGAATCAAGGAAAAGAAAGAGAAAGCCCAAGAATTCGTATCATTCTCGTCTCATTTACGCATTAATCCACGGTTGGCAACACTGCCTCAACGCAGGATTCGGGTTCCAACGAAACATCGTCTCCGAGGGAGACCTGAGAATGAAAAGGCAAAAAAGGCCTTTTCTAAAAAAAAAAAAAAAAAAGAAAATCAATAAAAAAAAAGGATGCGGATTCGGTCCGGATTTGGTCAATCAAAAGAGTATAATGTCACAGGGGCTCCCAGTTGTTTTATATCCCTTCCTTTTTTTCACGGTCGAATGCAGAGGTAAAAAGGGGCAGGTAAATGAACCGATCGTTCGATCGATCGGTCGGTCAGTCAGTCAGTCAAAGTCAGTGGGGTGACAATCGATCATCCGAAAACAGATCATCGCAACTTGCGATGAATTGAAAAAAAAATTTTGTCGTTGTCCTAGTTCCAACTGGTTTCTAGCTTAAAACGGTGGTCACAATTATACGCGAATTAAATCTCCAGAGAAGAAACTATTTTTGTTTTCATATTTATCGTTTACACAATCGCAAACTGTGAGATTGAAGATATTCCGCCTTTTACATGTTGTGCAGAACATCGAAAATTGAATTCGTGAGTCGGAATTTCCAATTTCAGTGTGAAAAAAATTTTGATCGCATATAGCTGAAGCTAATTAAGATATTTGAACAAAAAATCGTGCAATAAGTTGAAGTCCAGCGGATTTCAATAATTAAATACATATTTATTTCTTCATCATGAGCGACAAAAATGTGGGACTGAAGCTTTTTAAATTATTGCATCTATTATTTTTCGAATGCCCCAGGTTTAAATGAATTTGCTTGACAAGCTTTTGAAGCAAATACCCCAGGAAAAACGTTGACAACACATTCTTTACGCATTTTGAAAGGATAAGTACAAAGATTGTAACAATCGAAAGATGTACACAATCACTAGATACTATTTAATGCAATGTAAAATTTCAGTAATTTCGAGACTTCGGAGTGGAATTTCTAGTTCAGGAAATAATTTTTCTAAACCTATAAATATTTCCAGTTGATCATTCGACAGATGGTGGAGATAGAAAAGATTTGGAGGCTAAAGAACTGAGTTTTTCTCTAGTTTAACGGATCTATGATGAAAATTAAATTCAAGAAATTTTTAGCATTTTTCAAATGAATTTTCTTCGACCTAAACGCGAAGAAAGATTCTTGAAGAAAACAGTTTTTGCTTATTTAGAAAAAAAAAACTTGAGGGAAAAAAACGAGAAACCTTAATTGAGAACCTTTGTTTTCTTCACCTTCACATCCTCGACAAAAGAAGAGTTTAAAAATTTAAATAATTTAAAAAGCCTGAAATTTCGACTTTGAACGACGTAACAATTTTAGGTGAATAAATATTCGATTTTTTTTCCAAGACCCGCATAACTGATAAGACACGGAATTTCACAACCCTACCATCAATATTTTCCACTTTGCCATTCAGAGAAAGGTGAATTCCAATTTTTCCTCAAAAAGTAAATTGTTCCAAGAAAAAGCCACCAAAATAATTCAAGAGGGAACAGATTCGATGAAGAAAAAACCCTGCAAGTCCCAATTTTTTTTTCCTATCCGAAAAGTGCTTTAACCTATGTTTGATTCAACACTCGAGAGACTTCCGTGCAATGAAATGAAGTTGGCCAACAAGAAACTTCTCGTTCACCTCATGGTAGAAAAAAACAGGTAAAAATTTATTGATCTACGAAATATCGCGTTTGATTATGCAACAAACCTTATTTCGTGCAAGGTATGAGACATAATCAGACTTTTAAGAAGTAAAAAGTACAAAGTAAAAAATTCAATTTTTAATATGAAGATCTTGTTCTTTTTTTTTCGGGTCATGCTCGGTTCTTTCAGCCAAATCATTCCATCTAAAACGACTTATTCTTTTTACCGTGCGCCAATTGTGGGGAGAATTCTGACTTTTGATGTCCCGGGAACTACTTGAAAAAAAATTACGAGTGAACTTCATATTGAGCGGGTTTGTGATACTGGAAATTCGGTTCCAGTCTTGCATTTGACGTGAAGTGGCTGGTTAAACTCATTGCAAAGCAAGTTTCCGCTCTTTTTGTTTCCAAAACGGCATTATAATTGATTTTAAATTTAGCACCAAATGGCCTTCAAAATATTTCTCGGAATTAAATTGATTGAGAATTTGTCCACGATTGTATAGTATTCTTGTTTAAAAATCAATAACATTGGATCGGAAAGAGGAGAACCAATAAATTATCAGGGAAACAATGTTAAATTTCTATTACTTAGATAAGAGTTTTTACAAGTTTAAAATTACGTTAAAAACAAACTGCGCGTTTACGTCGCAGTTTTTTTCTCTTACCGTTCTGTTTTAATTACCTATTTTTTCGGACAAAGAAGAGGGGATCGATCGACTTTCCCTTGTTTCGATTCGGTGACGATTCGTCTTTTTGTGAAGACTTTTCAATTTCAATACATTTTTTTAACCAAGTCCAATAGAAGAAGGGACTTGCATGAGAACAACACTGGATAAAATTAAGGCAAAAAGAGAAGATAGATCAACTATTGCTTTTTTCAATTTTTATGATGATCGGTATATTTTCGAATTTTTTTTTCATTTTAATGACAAAATGTTTACAACAAACATACCATGTCGAACAATGGAAGTGTCAGAGAATAGCCTCGAATAATTTTTTTTAATTGCAAGAAAATTGTTCCTTCATTTAAATATGAAGACGATTGGTTCAATTTAAAAGACTTAAAATTTCAGCAACATTTTCATCAACCGAACATTTCAAGTCGAACAAATAGATAAAATTCGAAGAAAAAAAAAACAAGAGAGAATCGATTGAAACAACTATCGCTTTCAACGTACTACCGTTTTTATGGTTCAATTCTCAGAGGATTGGTCCATTCTCGAATAACTAAAATTTTTAGAAAAAATTTTCTCAACCACACTTACCCAATGGTTAATTTATGGTCAATAAATTAACCATTGGGTAATGTCATCAAAAAAGGAAACATTAATTGCCAATTCATTTTTCAGTCCTCTTCTTTGCATCTTTCCCTCGCTCTTCTTTTTCTTTAAATTCTGAGGCAATTGGTCCATTCTCGAAAAATTTTCAATTTTTAGAAATTTTTTCTCGACTGCCCATGTTATGTCAATCAACCGCTGGGTTATGTCAATTAACGCATTTACAAATAAAAAAATTCAATTGTCAATTTTTTCTCAGTCCTCTTCTTCGCGTATGTCCTTCGCCCTTCTTTTCGTTCTAATTCTGAAAAGATCAGTTTTCAATTTTTAGAGCAATTTTTCTCGACACACACGGAATTGTCAATTAATCCTCACCCTGATATTGCTTTTTTGGAACGCTGATTTTCCGATTAAAATTCATGGCACTGAACGAAAAATCGCCTCATATTCCATCGGCAACAAAAACTTGACACCCCCCCCCCACTTCACGGAATTGAGAAAAAACAAAATTTGATAGTCAATTTATTTCTCAGTCCTCTTCCTTGCGTCCTTCCCCGCCAACTTTTTTTAATTTGTTTCAATTCCGAGACTATTAGTAAGTTCTCGAATAATTTTCAATTTTCAGAACAATTTTTCTCGAATGCTTCTGCAACGTCACTTGATCCATTCCCCGACGTTGATTTTCTGTAGCACAGATTCCCTGACTACAAGTTTGTTTTTTTTATAATACAGCATACCTATTTTCCCAATCAAAACGTGCCAATCCCCCTTCCTCCTTCAACAAATTTTCGAAAAACAAAATTTAATCGTCACTTTATTTCGCAGTCTTCTTCTTTGTGTCTTTCCCCGCCGCTATTCTTTTTTTTTCAATTCCGAGACCATTAGTACGTTCTCGAATGATTTTCAATTTTCCAAACAATTTTTTCTCGAATGCTCAGGTAACGTCAATTGATCCATCCCCTGAAGTTGATTTTCTGTCGCATTGATTTCCTGAATCCTGACAAAGCTTAATTTTTAATTTGGATGGCACCTACTTTCCTCTCGTCAACCAAAAACCTGTCAATCCCCCCTATAACAAATTTACCAAGAAAAAAAACTAAACAAAATTTTAATCGTCAATTTATTTCTCAGTCCTCTTCTTTGCGTCTCCCCGCGTGCCACCGTTTCATCAGACGGTTCGCAAGTGAAACTCTGTCATAAATTGGTCGCGAGCGACGACGGAAGAGAAGCCAGGAGTCTTGTATCGGCAAACCGGTTTCGCGACATCGCCGCCATGGAAGCCGCCGTCAGCACAGAAGACCGCCGCCAGCAGCAACAACAACAAAATTGGCACGTGCCGGCGTCTCGGTTTTCCAAGAAAACCTTCAATCCCATCCGAAGCATCATCGAGTCCATGGATATTGCGCCGAATCCAGAAAAGCCCATGATTGCTTTGTCCATAGGTAAGCACTTACAATCTCTGTACAGTGAAAATTGTTCAAAATAGTAATGTACTGTGAAATTTCGAAGTATTGTACAGTACATTAGATATGCAGTATTTTGGTTCTACGGTACTCGTACAGAAGTTTTCAGCCCATTGTACATTATTACCAATGGTTTTCAGCCTTGAGCACCCAAGATTCTCAAGAGGTGAAACCTGCTGGTCTTTTCCAGAAATTGTAAATTCGTAAAGAGAAATAAATAAATTTACCAAATACTGTACAACGAAAACACATGACTTGAGATCATGAGTTGAATTGTTCAAGAAAGTCACTGGGCCTAAAGTGAAGGAAAACCAAATTGAGATTTAAATTTGAAGTGTGTATTTTTTGTGAAATTTCGAAAAAAAAGTCACAACTAGGGAGTCATTAATTTGGATTGAAATCACGGATGAAGTCCTACATGCGGTAAACGGAATCTTGACCAGAAATTGTAAATTCGTAAAACGAATTAATGGGAAGAGAACGAGAACATGGCTCAATATTATGAGGCAAAATGTTCAGGAGATTCACGAAGGAAAAAAAAAACATGTGCGGATTTTTCGTAAAATTTTGAAATAAGTCAAAACTAAGGCGTCATCAATTTGAATTTAAATCTCGGATAATGTCCTGTAAAATTTTAAAATACTGAATTTCAATGTTCAGATATTTAAAAATTTCCAAGAAGAGGGAACTGCTTCGTTCTTTTTTCGCGAAGGACCCGATCAAATTCTGAAAAAAAGCCGAGCCGAACGTCAATTTTTACAAAATTCATTCCTCTCTTTTCTTCAACTTGTAAAAATGTGACTTCAAACATCCTCCAAAATAATTTTGCGAATTTACCCCAAACTAAAACTAAACGCAAATTCTTTATACGAATAAACAATTTGAATTATTTTTTGTGAGCAGAGGATCCAACAGTTATCATTAAAAAAGAATTTTAAAATACTGAATTTCCATGTTCAGATATTTCAAAATTTTCAAGAAGAGGCAACTGCTTTGTTCTTTTTTTCGCGAAGGACCCGAACAAATTCTGAAAAAAATCCGAGCCGACCGTCAATTTTTGCAAAATTCATTCCTCTTTTTTCTTTAAATTGTAAAAAATTGACTTTAAAAATCCTCCAAAAAATGTTGCAAATTTACCCCAAACTAAAATTTAACGCAAAGTCTTTATTTGAATAAACAATTCGATTATTATTTTTTTTTTTCGTGTGCAGGGGATCCAACAGTTTTCGGGAACCTGGGACCGCCAGAAGAAGCCATTGACGCGATTGTCGACACTGTCCGAGGAGCTGCTTTCAACGGGTACGCTCCGTCAACAGGTGCTAAGAAAATTTTAAATCCCACCAACTCGAAAAAAAAATGTGCGGTGATTTCAAATTTTCATGATTTCACTCCTTCGTTTCTTTTCTTTTTTTCTCCTCTCTCCAGGGCATAATTCAGCAAAAGAAGCAGTGGCCACGTACTGCGTTGAGTTCTTCGACGGACTCGAAGCTAGGGTGAATACTTCGTTTTTTGCAAAATTTCATAACCGAATGCGATGTGCGAAACTTGGTTTTAAAATTTTATCATCATCACTGCACTCGGAACTGATTAGATGAAGCTGATTGGATCTAAATCCCTGCCAATTTTACGTAAATCGATGCATATTAAACATTATTCAATATCATCTGAACTGAAATTTTGAATTTTTTTTAACGTACGCATGCATAAATCGAAACAACGCTAAAAAAAGAAAGTTCAGACCAAACTTCTGAGTTAAAGTCCTCAACTTTGTGTATGAATACCAAACCTTCCCTTCCTTTAAAAAGTCCATTATAAATCATGCGTCAACAAAAATTTGAACGAAATAATCACTCCACAGTAAAAAACCCTATATAAAAAAAAGAAGACGAAGTTATCGAGGAACAGTATTTCCACCCCAATAAAACATTTGTGCTGGATTCATTGTTAACTTCTTCGGAAATTTGTGAACAACCTTCGACTAATTTCTCATGCACAATATCAAGGTTGCGAAGGTGTCTAGTTTTGCTTTACATTGAAATTTGATGTTTTTTCCATCCTCTGTCATTTCTGTATTTCTAAAAAAGGTAAATCACGAAGAAATTCCCGGTTTTGAGCTTCTTCAAAGTCACCGACAAAACTCACAAAACCAAATAAGCACGAAAATCACACTTCCTAAAAGTTTGGATGAGATATTCACCCAATATTAAAATTCGGAAGGTTTCATGTTCCCCTCAAATCTATAAAAAGTTGTAACAAAAACTTGAAAATCCCTCAACTGATTTTTGAATTCAGTTTTTGATTAAAAAAAACAGGTATAACACGGATCATTGACAGTTGACATGAGAAAATATCATGGATACATCATCAAGTAGCTACACATAAAATCCGCGAGCTTAGACAACTTGAAAAGTCGTTCTTGCAATTTAAAAATATGTTTTCTCGCTTCAGTTCACGTACTGTGTAATAAAATACGCGTCACGTGACATGAAAATCACTTATACAGTACCATGATTTCTAGTATCCATAAAACTCGAAGACATGGACTCGTGACATGAAAACGATCCAAGATATTGTTGAAGTTACTTAAAATGGACACATTTGAAAACTAAAAATCAAAGTTGAAAAAGCAAAAAAAAAAATCAGAGGAGGTGATGAGGTTCAATACTCCAACTGAGATTTCCAAATATTGATGTTCAAATTTTACATGAAGCTGAAAAACTCAATAAAAAAGAATTTTCAATATTTATTTTTTTTTAAAGTCCTCGTTGAAATGAAGACCTGATTATAGATTTTATTCGATTCAAAGAAATTGAGAGTACAGTATTTATTTTCGATTGCGATATTGCGCAACTTTCCGTTTATTTGTTTGTTTTTTGCCTCCTCTTGAGGAAATTTTAATTTCAATGAGAATTGACTGAGAATAGAAATCAGGAATCCATCGCGCACATTTTTTTAAACAACTCTGAAACGCTTTTCCTCCAAGCTCGTCAGAATTAGCAAGTATTCAGACTCGGGTAATTCCAAACAAACAAACAAAATCTTCCCATACTGTCATATAATGTCAAGAGAAAAACAAATGGTCGTAAGAGACACACCCACCATTCCGCCGTTTCATCCTCTTACAACTTCCCCGAAAACATACGATGACAAACAACGACGATGATAATCTCATTCGCCCTCTGCTTCTATTCATTCAACGGTCGGAACAAACGACCGCTCAAAATTTGATTCAAATTCGAATCATTCAATTCAAATCGAGAATCTCGTTCTTATTCCGCAGTATCCCCCCGCACCTGTCCTCGTAGTCGTGAAAACATTGTGGAAGAACTGACTCGTGTGAACCCGGCTCCGAAAGGAATCCTTAGAATTCAACGTAAAGTTCAACACCTCCAAAAATTTCAATAAATAAGGCAGTTCTCGATTAAAAAAAAAATCACGGTCTATCACGAGAACGCTGCAAAATATACATACTAAAAAATGTGCAGTATTACGACTGACAATTCGAAAGTACGAAAATTGCAGACCTGTCGCTTTTAAAAAAAAGGTTGCAATTATTCATTTCTTCAGGAACCCCCGAATTCCTTGCCGGGCAAGAATAGGGTTAAGCCATCCGAAACATTTCCATTCAATAATTAATCTAGCTAAGCAAAATTTCCATAAATAAGGCAGTTCTCAATTAAAAAATAAAATAAAATCACGGGCTATCACGAGAACGCTGCAAAATATATATGCTAAAAATGAGCAGGATCACGACTGACAATTCAACACCACGAGAATTTTAGACCTGTCGCTTTAAAAAAAAGGTTGCAATTATTTATTTCTTCAGAAACCCCCGAATTCCTTGCCGGGCAAGACTAGGGTTAAGCAATCCGAAACATTTTCATTCAATAATTAATCCAACTAAACAATTCGAATACGAATTTCACTATTGCATAAAAGGCAAAATAATTTCCATGAAAACACGAGACGAAGAAAGTCGCAATAATTTCCCCAATTTCCTTAAACTCGAATAAAACGAAGAATAAATTAAACAAATCTTCATTTGAATACGCTCAAATTTTCAAAATATACATTTCAATCCGAATCGAACTGCACAAAGAATATCTAACAGGCACGAATAAATAAATAAGAAGAGCAGTAATATTCACTTCGCATATATTCGTCTGCATACGATGCGAATGGAAAAATTATCAAAGAATTTAACACGCTTGATAGACAAAATATTCTCGTCAATCGAAGTCTTCATCGGGGAATTCATTCTTCAAAAACACGTCAAATATTCCAGTTTTCAGCTCTACGTCAATTTTTACTCTTCATTCGCTCAAAATTCAACTGCAATACAGTATTTGCAGCGCCATGACTCATAAATATAGAAGCAAAATATAATTACAAAATCATCGACTTTAATTGAAATTATTTCCATTTTTTAGTAAATTAAAGACGCCTTTTGCAATTTTCTCAATCGGAGGAAAAAGGATTCAATTTCGTTTCATGAACAATGTCAGAACCAGAACATCTATTCAAACAAGAAAAAACTGCGTGCAATTCAGGAAAAATAGTTACAAAAAATTAAACTTCGAAATCCATCTCTTCAGTTCAGTTAGGTCAAATACATCAATTAAGTAGGTCATAATTCCAGCTCTCCTGACATAACCCCCAGCAAATATCGAATTGGTGAAATTCAATTTCCAAATTATTCTTCTCTTTCTCGAAATTCCAAACACACACAAAAAAGGACGTGATTTTGACAAGTGGCTGCTCCAGCGCCTTGGACTTGTGCATCTCAGTACTCTGTGATCCCGGTCAAAACTTGCTCGTTCCCCGACCTGGGTTTCCCCTGTACCAAACCCTTTCCGAAGGACTCGGCATTCAAACCAAACACTACCGACTACTGGTAAGTCCACCCTATTTTTGTCCTTTATTCCACTATTCTCAGGTTCATTCGATAATATCCACATCTGATAAAGAGGTTGTTCATCTATTCTACCTTGAAACTATAAAAAAAAACGCCGAGTACTGCGTTTTTGTGATTGATCAAAATCGAAGCTTGACTGTCGACGGACCTGAACCCGAAACGAAAATAAAATCACAACAAGGGCTTTTCAGAAAGTTTCACAAATCCCTCGAAAGTCTCATTCCAGTTGGAGATAACAAATATTAGTCTATTTAAAAAATATTTCGGCTAAAAATGTCGAATTTTCTCATCAATAATCCCCATAAAACCACGAGAAGTTCGAGGTGAAAATCTTTAAAAAATTCTTTGGTAAGCTTAGCCTGGGGAAAAAAAAAAGATACTGTATACATAAACCAAAATTTGTTTCGATGCGTTGACTTTCTCATTTTCACTCAAGTCCATGTCCACTATTCTTTTTTTCAGAGTAGTTGATAAAAATCCCACATTTTTTCCAATCATCCCCATGAAAACACAACAATTTCCAGACGACAGTCGAAAAAAAAGACGTCAATAATCTCAACCTCGGGAAATGTTTTTTCGATACGTTTACATTTTTTATAATTTCCACGTCAGTCCTTTTCAACTACAGTATTCTTCCTTAAACAAACGCTTGTCGACTTCCAAGAAAATCCTTCCGAATCGAATCAGATGAACATAAGAAAAATTAATCTACTCAACCTCGAGGAACAAGATAAACAAACCAAATTTTTTTCGATAATGTTGAATTTTTTTTTTTACAATTTTTACTAGTCCATTTTTAATTGTTTTTCCTTCAAAATAAAAACTTGTCTACTCATACGATACTTCATCTGAATTATATCAGACGAACGCAAGAAAATTTGATATGAAATAAGTGAAAATTTTTCCAACATGCTACATGTAGCCTGAGCGGGGTTGGGAAGTAGACCTGGAAGATGTGGCGGCACTCGTCGACGACAACACCGCCGCCATTCTCATCAACAACCCTTCGAACCCCTGTGGGTCGGTGTTTTCAAGGCAACACCTTCAGCAAATTTTGGAGCTAGCCGAGCGTTTCCGACTGCCAATAATCGCGGACGAGATATACGACCGATTCGTGAGTTTTCAAACTTTAAAAATACATTCCGACAATATCAGCGTATTTACTCGAATATATAAGGTGTCACTGATTGGAAACATTCATATAAAGTATACGTTCTATATAATAAACTGCAAAAAAGTCACGACTCCGAAAGCCAAACTATCTTTTAAAATTCTGCAGACTCCAAGAGTTCAATGACTTAGACCCCAACCAGATCTAAAATATTTCAAAAGAAAATAAATACTGCCTAAATCTTTCGCTAGCTAAGTCGAAATTTTCTTTGGATTCGCATCAAAAAATTCGAGACTCAATTCTTTTTTTTTTCAAGATTTTGATGATCGGACATTTCATGTACGATTCCAAGACGCTATAAAATACTGTACGAAACCCTGTCTGAGATAAAGGTATGCTTTTATTTCTTGAAGCCGATTTTTACAAAAATTACTTAATACTCGAGTAGATACGGTAAACATTTTTCACAAAATAAAATGATCGAAAATTGAACATTTTCCCACAGGTTTTCCCTGGTGAACCGGGAAACGAAAACAAATTTTATCCCCTGTCTTCCCTCACAAACACAGTGCCTATTCTCAGCTGTGGAGGACTCACAAAAAGGTCAGTTCATTATCCAATCGAACAATTTTCACAAGACATGCATTGTCCTGATCTTTCGAAAAATTCCGAGAAAAGATGCGAGTTGAATTTTCAGACTGGTCTTGAAATTAATGGAATCGACGCACTGAAGCAAAAATAGCACAAGCAGAAAAAGCATAGCAAAAAATCTAGATATTCTTGATTGCACAGGAATATTTCCTTTCCACAACTCGCAAAAAACATTCAAGTCCGGTACTGAAGGTTGCTCTGAACCTCGGACGAAATTATCTTGAAACACTTCCTCAAATTAAAAAAAAAAAGAAGTTCAATCGCGCAGCTTAACCAGAGCTTTTGAATTCAGACCAGAAAAATAATCGTTCCAGAAATTTCTTGCAAGTTAGCCCAGGTAATTAATACACCAAAGGGAGAACGAGTGTTCCAAATAAAAATCAAATCAGCTTTCTCTCTCATAAAATAAAAATTTTGGCACGGAATATAGCACATAATCAAAGGTCGATTTGAATCCTCCTTTTGCGAAATTTTCTCAAGGTTTATGGTGCCCGGATGGCGAATGGGTTGGATCCTGGTTTGCGACAGAAATGGCATTTTGAACGATGTTCGACATGGCTTGCAAAGTCTGAGTCAACGAACAATCGGCAGCAACACCATCGTTCAAGGAGCTTTGCCAAAAATTGTCGCAGAAACGCCGCCAGATTTCTTCGACGAGGCTATCGCTCAAGTTCAGGTAAAATCATCAATTTTCTTGAATGAAATTTCCGTCAGCACTTGATTCAAGTCATTCGACTTACATTGGAGTAAAAAGGGGGGGGTGGGGGAGGGGTTCTGATTATATCTCGGAAAAAAAAAGTATTGGGGTACCCACGATTTTGAGCCAGAATCCCCCGAATAAAAATGAGAAATTATGAAGCGTAATCTAATGCGCAGAAAAAAAAAATGCGTATTGCAGCCTCAACTTCGGCGAAATTTGTCTCAACCTCTTCAGAATTTCACCCCGATTTCCGGGACGTAAAAGTTGCGAATATACAACCTCTATTTTTTATTGGAACGCACTTATCAGATCATGGGCATCGTCACTCCAATTTTTTTCAACTACAGCATCTAAAAGTCCAACGACTACCTCGGTCTTTTTTTTTTAACTCGGGTGAAAAAAAATAAATTGGAATGAGGATCAGTAAATGATCGAGTTATTTTCATTTCATACAAATTAATTCCACCTCCACCCATTTGAGTAGAATAAAAAAAAAGACTTCAGAGAATATCAATAAATAAATAAAATAAAACGGAAATCACCGGGTTTTCTCTAAATTTTCAGGTACAAAACATGATCAAATCTCCACATTTGTGTGATTCGAACTCATTTCTCCCAACTGACAAGAAAAAGAAAACACTCCCATTTATTTTCTTCAAATGCAATAGTTTTAAATTTGCAAGAGAAATTAAATTCCCCAGCAGCTGATCAACACGTCTCATCATCATAAATAATTTTTTTTATCCACCGCAGGGTCTGAAAATTGTGACAATTTTCGCAGTCATATTTCGTAATCGAACCGACGACCAGAAGAAAACGGGCAGCGAATATTAGCATCAATTTTTTTTCAATAACGTTTTGAAGAAATGTAAATTTTTCGCAGGAAAATGCCGCTGTCTCATTCGAATACCTGGCATCCGTTCCAGGACTTCGACCGGTGAAGCCTTCGGGTGCAATGTACATGATGGTGAGGAAATACAGCACTTATCCACGCCAGAAAATGACCCTGATAATCTCAGTGGTGAAAAAAAAAACGCGATTCATTGGATTCAGAATTTTTGAATCAACTTTTTTTAGAAGCTCTTCCCAGTTTTGATCTTTCTGTCCGATTCAACAGACATATCGAACATTTCTGTCCGATTTGAAGCAACGTCGTGCCATGGAAGAGTTTCTTTGATTTTTTATCATCATGCGAGGCATTTTTCTCTTCCACAAAATTTCTAAAACTAAAAAAAATTCGCGAGTCAAGAGAGAATACGACAATACTGCACATAAATAAACTACGGTACTGGAATCAGTTGAAATGTAATTCCCTGATGTGAGCAAATTATCTTCCGCGAATTTAAATTTGCAAGATTCATCCTCCGTCGTGACAATCTGACTGTTCGAACATTTTGAAATTGCTCTCTCATTACAGGTTGGCATTGACATGGAGCAGTTTCCAGAATTCACCTCAGATCTACATTTCGTCGAAAGATTAGTGGCAGAGCAATCAGTCTTCTGTCTACCCGGAAAGGTACAAAAATTAATTTCTTCTTCAATAAAATTGCAAGCCAAAACCCGAGACTCGCGGTTTGAAAGATTCGCCATTCTCGCCGTCAATACATTTTTTTTTAATTTGACCCAAGCATAAGAAACTTTTTTCCTGGCCGCAGCCCAGCTGATTAACGTCCTTATTATAAAGCAATTCTTCTGATTCTTAAATCAAGCAATCATCAAGCTAACTTTTCAACTTCGTGAGTAAAGCATAAATTTCCTCATAACATAAGCCAAAAATTAAAAACAACTTCTCCCTAATTTTTAATTTTCCCCCCTCCAAAATGACAGTGTTTCAACGTGGACAACTACGTACGAGTGGTGCTCACTGTGCCACTGGAGCAAATGCGAGAGGCCTGCGTTCGCATCGCCGAGTTCTGCGCCACGCACCGCCACTCGCACCCTCCACTGCCACCTGGCCCAGTCTCGAAGGCACCCGCGAACCATCGCCGACCCAGCTACCACGAAAACGACGAGGAAGAAGAAGAAGGCGACAACTGTAAGAACACGAGGTCCGTGCCCATCATCCACAATACGAATCCCGCCACGGCGCCCAAAACAAGAATCCCAATCAGTGACGACGACAACGACGACGATGATGATGATGATGAAGGGAATGACAAGGAAAATGACGACTGGACGACCGATTTTCTTCTTCCAGTCGCGAGGCATTCAACACCAGCTCCCGTTTTGGCGAAAACTTCGCGCATCAAAACCAGCTGAACGAATTCATTTTTTCTACCTCCAATGTTTTGTTTTGTTTGTTTTTTGTTTTTTTTCCTCCCAGTTGAAGAATTGAGCAGAATATTGACGTTGTTCCAGCGAAGAAACAACACCTTTTGTGCAAACCTACTCGGTATAGCGAAAAGAAAAACTCACGAATAGCTTGTTTTGTAATAAAAACACAATCCGGTTTTTTTTAATTAAAAAAATTTCAACATTTCAACGGTGCCAGATTTAAAATCAATCATTCCAAACGAACCAATAATACACCAAATTCGTTCAATATTGAAGAGCGCGCATCTGAACGAGTGTCTAGAATCAATGCTCGAATCTCGGAAAATTCAATCTTCAATACTATTTTTCAATTTGCTTCATATAAAAGATCTAATCGAAGCAGATACTGTATTTAAGGAAGACCAATCTGATCAGGTACCCTGTACATGAGCTTCATTAAATATGCACTCGGATTATTTAAACAAACGCAACGAACTAAATTTAAGATATTTCTCTGTTTTGCTAGAAATGCAAGGATCCAAATATTTTCGAGCCCCAACTTGCACTGAAAATCAACAAGTAGGTCGAAGAATATTTTTCCCACAAAAGAAATTCAGCGCACATTTTTTTCATTTTTGATGATTAACAATCTGGATGATCCAGAATTTCAAGAGAAATCCCTCGACTTAAATTCCATCGATAAAATAAAATAAATTTGGCTATTTACGGCGTTCAAACATCTCAACGATTCCGAATTTCAACTTCGGCCATCTGAAAGAGATTCAATCGAATCCAGTAATTTTTGAAAGCAAAAAAAAAAAAAAACGATAACTGAGCAATTCCTGATTTTGACTCTGATCAAATCAAACAAAAATAGATGAAGTCAATCAATGCATACCTAAAGTTCTTTTTAATGTATGCAAACGACGCCCGATTTCAACAGGTTCTTCCAATCTGAATTTAATCGATTAATGAAAATGATTTATTTTCAATTTTTGTTTGTATCACTCCAAAGAAATTTGACGCATTGTCGATTTCGTCTGAATAATTGATAACGTACTCACGTTTCCTCCGAATCAACAACTGGAACTAGAACAGCGACTAAACTTTCATCACAATAGCCGCAAAAGCACCAGGCATCGTTTTTTTTTTTTTCAGGAGCACCTGAAAACGGGGCAGAATTAGTACCAAAGAATCCGTGGATTTCACGAACAGATGAAATGAAAGAAAACGCAGCATTTCTTCTCCTTTTTTATCATCACCTCCAAACGAGTCAACATCACTAAAAATGACTACGCGCTGAATATAACTAAAATTCCTGAAAGCTTCCGCAGAACATTGCACGTCGTTGAATGAAACCATGGAACACGAAGTCAGAAACTATCGAGATTTTTTTTTCTCAGACGAATTACCAAGATTTGCCTGAGTAGAACAACGGCATCGATTGTGAAACAACTAATCGCGGTTAACAACTAACGCCGCTTTCAAACTTCTCGAACAAATCGATCGTTTCTCACTTCATGGCAGCTCAGCTTCTCACAGCCAATTGCTTGTTAGTGTCACTCTTTCGTTCTCGAAAATAATAACGCGTGTTTTCAGAGCGAAAACTCGAAGCTGATCTTCAACTACCTGATTCAATTTCCTCACAGCTTCGCTGAATCTTTCCACACTGATGCAGAAATAAATCCGTATTTCTAAAACATAGACGCTGGAAATCTAAAACGCATCACATTTTTTTTAAATAGCATGTTCATTGCACGATTTGTTTTCTCGCCGTCACGCTCTTCGACAAGTCTAAAACAGACTCTAAAGTTTATAATCTTCTTAGAAGAATTGAACCTCTCCTAGAACCTCTATTTAATATACCGTATTCGAGCGAATATAAGAAGCCATTGCTTCAAACACATATTCAATTTATTTTCAGTTGATCTCTTCGGTAGAAAAAGTCCCTCGTTAAGTTAACACGAATCCCCAGTTCTTTCAAAATACGCCAGAAATTCAGGCGGGGAGGAAAACCATTGCCTTCAGGAATCTCTTCGCACGAAATTAATCGCGATGACGGTCCGTAAATCAAGGCTCATTGCAAGTCCTCGCAAGCAAAATTCAATTCCCAAGCCATAGCGTTAGAAAAAAAAAATTTAATCTAATTTTTTTGCCTTCCAATACGCAACACAGGTAGTTCAACGTTCGTTTCGAACTTATCCTCAGCAGGAAGATATCAATGAGATAACAAACACAAATTTTTTTCAATTCGAACAACGTTTTAGATTTAGACCACTCCGTCAACCGTGCGCACGAGGAGTTGAGCAGATTTTCCACGAAACACCTTGATTTTTTACTCGCCAAAAACTGAAAATCAGAAAGAATCCGTTTTATATTCGCTCGAATACGGTGCATTATCATGAGAAATCAGACTAGAACCTCACACATTCGCATCAGTTAGTAGGAATCCCCCCTACCATGCAATCGAACAGATCGCTTCCTAATTTCAAGCCAAACCCGCACACCGTCCAAGATCTCCCCGTATCAACGAATTCATCATCAACAAAAAAACTCACGTCACGAGCTACAGAAGAGACCTTTCCTTCGCCTCTCTAATCTCCTGTTTAAACAATCCCATCCCCAAAATCAAAAGAGAAAACAGCATTTAAAACCGCTCCTTCGAACGGGTTCAACAGAGAATAGATACTCTATAACAGCTTAATCGCGGTCACTCGCATTTCTTTTTTTTTCTTTTTTTTATTAACGGATTTTAAAGTTCACGACTTGCTGAGCCAGAGAAAACTACGCCAAGCCACTGTCGGACGGAGGTACGACCTTGTGGTGTGTTTCTGTGTGTGTGTGTGTGAAACACGTGGAACATAATCACGAAACGCCAGATTCGTCAAACTCGGGAACCGGGATCCCGTTCCGTTCCAGCACCGCTCTCAAGGCCATGTTTTCCGCACTAAGTACTTCGATCTGTCGATCATATTCGCCCACTTCAGCCTTTTCAAACTGGAACACAGAACAAAAAATAAAATTAAAACATAAGTAAGCCCCGTGCAACTTCAAACAGAAAAGGATAAATCCCTCTTAAAGCGCCACACGTCAATCGCTACAGAGATGTCACCTGAATTTTACTAGGGGTTCATGGGGCCTGAATGGAGTCAACTTAGGTTACATTGTTGGTTTGGATTTTCAAAAGCTTTAGTTGAACGAGGTTCAGTAGGGTTATTTCAGGGCGATTAAAGATTAATCTCACACTGACTAACCTCCAGGAGGGTCCGGCGTGAAACGAAAAAAAACCGAATTTTTTTCAATGCGATCTAAGATCACACAAAGCTATACCTATTTCGGCATGTATCGCAAGTTCTATTACAACATTTGTATTACAAAACTAAATACTTTTCTGAGGAACATTATAAAACGCTGTTTTTATGGTGCAGTACGTTGACATTGACCAGATGGACAAACAAGCACTGTCCCTGATCATTTGATTAGAAATGATCGGGATGCAATGAGTGTTTAGCTCTACCACGAGACCTTGAGGAATTTTAAATTAGCCACTCGGGACGATCAACATATTTTTAATTCTTCAGAGACGATGCAGATCCGCTCTTCAATGAAGACTTGAATGGAAAAAATACAGCGTTTGTCATCTCACCGATCCATGCATACGTACCAAGGAATCATTTACAATTATGTTACCTTGTGCAAGAGTAGAAGCAGTATTTCGCGGCGATTCAACTTTCTGAGGCTGGAACGTATTACAGAGAAGATGAACAGAACCGATAGTCCCTGCATACGTACCAAGGGATCATTTACGATTATGTTACCTTGTGCAAGAGTAGAAGCAGTATTTCGCGGCGATTCAACTTTCTGAGGCTGGAACGTATTACAGAGAAGATGAACAGAACCGATAGCTTAACAATAAGATAACAGAACCCAAACTGTTTCACGGGTAACCTGGGCAATCTCACAGACAAGCTAAAAAAAATTACAGACTTCCAACATATCGAAACACTTTTTTCTTTTTCAAAAATCACAAATCAGACTCGTATCTAAATGCAGGACACTAATTTCCCCGGGGATATGAAGGCTTTCCAGAATTGGATACATGCGCTGGCGATATCTACGAAATGAAAAATAACTAATTTTTTCATTACCTCGGGGCTTCTTGCCAAATTATTACATGACACGAGAAGAGTTAATAGTTTTAATACCAAACGAAACACCCACATGGCAAAAATTAGTTGTTTTCTTTCTCTTCATAAATGTCGTCATGACATTTATCTTCAAAGGTTACCACAGAACAGCATTGCCTCGATCGAAATTTTCTAGACACGTTTGTTCATCACAAGGACTAACCTTTTCCTCCAACGCGGTCAAATATCTCTGCAGATCAGACACATAGTCGCAGGCTCTGCACAAAATATCGCTCTTGCTCGTCGGACAATCCGGGATGATTTTGGCAAGTTTCATGATCAGCGTGTTGATCTTGTCCCTTCGCCGACGCTCGACTTCGTTATGAGTAGCACGTCTTTTGTCGTCACACTGACTCAACCGATTCCCTTCTTCTGATACCTACTTCGCCGGGAGAAGAATTTAATTTACCTTTCATTTAAAAATGACCCAGAAAAATAATTAATTTCGAATATTTCGTTTGAATGCACGTCAACGGCATTAAGCAAAAATTCAGCGACTGCGAAATGAAAATTAACAAATCTCGTACAGTAATTCTGGTAGCCCAGTAACATGCGGATATCACAGAAGTCAAAATTCTAAAAAAAAATCCTCGAAAATTTCGAAGGAAGGAGCAAAATGCCGGCAACTACCCGTTACGCAGAAATTGCTCACCCATTTCTCCGTCACCGAAACCGGATTACTGTGGAGTAAGAAGAACTGATCGTCGAGCTCCAAGGGAAAATAACTAAATCTCCATCTTCCATATTCGCTTAATCACCCGACTATCCTCACTAATCGCTTTTTTCCCAGGCTTTATTCTTCATACCATCCATGAACATTACCTTCAACTTTCCGAAGCACCCTTAAAATGCTACGACTTCCGAAAAAAGCAATACAAGTTGAGATCCTAATTCTAGACAGAAGTTGTCTCAGCACCCCTCATCCAAACTAACTATACAAATAAACGATTATTCGTCTCTCAGAATTGCCCATGAATTTTTTTTTTTCGCTGCTCAGCTCGTCTCCTGAACTCTCTTAGTCACGCTTGTGAACGTTGAAAACGTCGACATCGCGATTCATGGGTTTTTGGCAAAATAAACGTAATTCCGCTCAACGTTTCATTATTTTTAGATCGACTGAAATCAGGGAAAAAGTTGTGAATCCTCACATTTTCACACGTACGACGCGCAAAACGTTTCATTGCGATGAAAATAAAATAAAATTCAACGCTTTGCAGAGAAAATATTTCAAGACGAAATTTGACGCGAAAATTCTCAAGACCGCCAAAATTGATGCATTCCCTTACTTTGCTTACAGTACTTAAAAGTACTTGCTACGTAAAATACCCCATTAGCATCTGTACAATGAATAATAATTTTTAACTTGACGGAGTCGTCCGACGTGACAATTCGGTACCACTTCGAAAGGTCGCTGACCGAATTTTTGGGTGACTAAAAAACAATCCTCTACTGTACTCGACGGTCAAGCTACAGAACGGGAAAACGGAATAATTTCTCGATTCAAACTTTAAACAAACGAAAATGAGGTACTCACAAAAATTTTCGGCCGAGGAACCATGACCTTTTCTGGCACAGTTTCCATAGCAGGCAACAAGGCGTACAATTGACCCTGCGGCCCAAATGCTATATTGAGCGTTTGTTGCGTCGCCAAGAGTTTAGATCCCACAACGAGAGAAGACTCCGTCGCCGGAGGGGTTGGCGGAGACGAGGACAATGAAGGTGACGACGACGTCGGCATAAAAGACATTGCCGGAAGGTTCAATTCGAGTTTGTCCACAAAGGAGTCGACGGTGGAGCCAAAGGAATCCGCAGACTCGTCTCCGTCAGTCGTGAGTTTGTCGCAGTCGTCCAATACCGAGTCGAGACTTCGTTTCAGCCCACGGCTTTCACAGCAGTACTTGAGTTCGAAATCCATCGTTGAAGACAAAAAAAATCAAATCACCGAATTCGGAAAACCCTGACGAACTGGCGCGGATACGCTTTCAAAATGCCATCTAAAAAGTCAAGAAAAATATCGCATAAGTAATAAAACAACGAGGCAATCAGATTAATCAAAAATAAAAAATAAAGCATCGAAGTCACAATGTCGCTCGAATTACTTCTTGTCACTCAGTTGAATAGCAACTGCGAAGCATAAATATTCTTACTAAATCACGCTACATTCTGATCCGAAAAAAAAGACATGAACACACGAGATCTTCTCAGATTGTCTAAATTATTTTTCTTTAATCGGGGGAATTCAAAATGCGACGCAGAAAAATTCTAACGAGATCTGGCGAATATATTCTGATATAAGCAAAAATCAAGCATGAACACAAGGAAACTGAAATTCCTCAAACATCACCACGGAGAAAATTACTTGGCTGTGACAGATTCCCACGCTCGTGAGTTTACAGCGACATTGTCACCCCCTTTTCGAACAAAATTTTCAACCATGACTGAAACTCTCATTTTCCTCGATTGCTCAACAAATCCGTGAAAATTTTGCTTTCCAATGTATTCAATACTTTCCGAATCACACGACTGAACTCACACGAATTTCAACTCCTCAATCTGGCTTCAAGAGCAAAGCAATAAGAAACACGGACAACACGATTGTACACTACACCGTACAGGTCTCCAACATTCCTTGAACGAAGAACCGTCTTCGAAAAACCATCAATTCGGATAAGCTTATCCCGCTCTCCACCAAAAACCACGACCTTTTTCTTATTTTTTTTTTTACAAAACTCCGAATTATTCCGAAAAAGGAAAATTTTCATGTCAAAAATTGATAAGAAACGGAAAAAAAAAATCATTCTTAATCTGTCTTGAATGGTTGCATTGCGCTGCCAAGCCAGTTTACGAGGGGTTCGACAAAAGTTCGAAGTTTTAATTTCTTGATACTGTATCATGATCACGTTTTGCAGGAGCCTCACACGTCTCACGAGTGATTACGAGTATAGGAACATTCAAAAATCTAAAAAAAATGGAAGCCATATTGAAAAAAGTCTCAATGCTTAAAAAAACAGAAAAAACACATACGTCTTTGTTGAAATTCACGGAAACAGCAGCGAACTTTCGTCAAACTTAAATTAATTTTTTATCAGTTGTGCGTACGAAGTCCCTTTGAAGAAAATGAACAGCGAAGAAAAACGCCATCAATAAATATGAAAAAAGTATCCTTCAGCGATCTGATCCTCAGGACATTCTTCCTCCAACGTTCTTTAAAAATTATTTTCTTCTTCGAGAGTGTGTAGCATGATACAGTATTTCGTTTCACATCTTCACGGATCCTCGTCCGAATCATCAAAGCCCTCATGCAAGCTCGTCACGGGTATGACACCAACACCCACACCGCCATCGTGTGCACACATAGATGGCGCCAGGGTCCACACATCCTTTTCTGGATCATATGTTTCCATTGTGGCCAGAGTTGACGTTCCGTCATAGCCGCCAATTGCCCACAATTTGCCCATATTTGTAACTAGTGCCACTCGACTCCGAGCAGCGTTCATGGGAGCCAGGTACTTCCACCTTGAAAAGCAGGAAGAAAATTATTCCCATGAACAACGATACCCCAAAGAATGGAAGCCCAGCATAATGGGTTTTCAGTAGAATGAACCAGGGTTGTCACAGGTTTTCGATTAGATAAAGGAAACCTCCGACTCGGACAATGGACTGCACAAAAAGCGAATCCAGTGGACTGTTCTGTTTTTTGAGGATTAATTCGCGATTTATTCAATAACTTGTGTTGGGGATTTAGAAAAAAATCTAAAACGTACTCGTTACGAATCAAATCCCAAACTCGAGGAACTCCTGAAATTTTTCACGCCTGAAAAATCATTTAAAAATACTTACACATCCGTCGTTACATCATAAACTTCGACAGATTTCAAATACGATGAACCATCATATCCCCCGCAAGCATACATCAGGTTATTCAGCACAGCTACACCAAGGCGACATCTCCTGGTCAACATTGGCGTCACAGGGAACCACTGAGCAAGGTTGGGATCAAACCTTTCAACCTGTTTCAGAAGTTGGAAAAAAAACAAGAACAAAAACATGAAATTTTCCATTCATTTCAGAGCATTTAGAAACTTACGGAGTCAAATATAGCAACTCCGTCGTGTCCACCAAGCGCGTAAATGTTTTGTTGGAAGGTGACAACACCCGCCGCCGATCGGTGCTTACTCATGGATGTCGCCATAGACCAAACGTTCCTCTTGGCATCAAAGCACTCCACGGTATTCAGTGAACAAACCCCATCGTATCCACCGCAAACATATAAACGATCATTCAATGAAGCTGCTCCAACCGCACTAAATAATCCCAGAAGTATATGAAAAAAAGAGAACATTTCAATCAAATAAAACTATTGTACATAAAAACACCAGCACTGATGCATAAAATATACCCTGAACACATGAAATGCGAACCTTCGCTTGCAATGCATGGATGTAACTTTGCGCCATTGCTTGGTGGTTGGATCGAATTCCTCAACTGTAGCCAGACGTTCACTGCCATCGTAACCACCGATTGCGTAAAGCTTGTTTCGTAGAACTCCGACTCCGACTCTACTTCGTAGCATGATCATCTCTTCAGCCATCCGCCAACGTCCGACTAGAGGATCGTAGTACTCCACCGTACTCAAAGAATCACCTGAAAAACGTTTATTTTTTGCTATAAACGTATCCCTCTAAAAAATTGCTTCATTTTCCCCGCTTCATGAAAATTATGGGACCTATCGTATTTACTCGAGTGCCATACGCATATTTTTTTCCTAAGAACTGAGGAAAAAATGGGGTGCGCGTCATAGGCATGTATAATGTTTTTTTGTGTAAAAAGTAAAGGTGTGCATTGCAGTTGATTCTAATGGGAAATTTTTGACCGATTTGAATAGAAAAATTAATTGCAATGGTAAGAAATGAAAATTAGTTCAATGAAGGTTAAATTAATGTCCAAATTCAAATATGGGTGTTCTCAAGTACGAAAAAATTATTTAAAAAAAATTAGGAATGGAAAAAAATTCACCGGATTTTCCCAAACCACCGACAGCATATATCAATCCGACAACATCGTTGCATGCTCTGGGTTTCGTTCGCAGGGTTTGCAACAAACAACGCCTCTCCGGCATCAGATGAAAATCTCTCGCTTCGTCCAACAAATCCCTGGTGATATGCAAGTTAAATTCGTTCAATTTATTTACAAAACGAAACAAAAAACTTCAACGGCGGGAACTCACCTGCATCTCAGAGAATTCCTCACAAACTCATCAACAGCAACTCGATCAGACAAATACTGCGGTGTTAACAGAGGCAACCTCACATACATCAGTAGTTCAGGGAAGTCTGATTCACGAGAGCTATCATGACGAGCCCATGTCCTTAAAGCTTCGAAAACCTGGAAAAAAATTCATTTTAACGATCAACTCTGTCTCTCGCAAGGACAATCGGAACACAGCCGGAAGAAAATCTTATATCTGGAATTTTGAACTGTATCACTAACCTAAACTAGACTTAAGAACGGTAACGAGCTTCAAGCGACACATATACTGTATCACAGAATACAAATTACGAATTCGTACAAGTCGAGCTTTTACTTCAAAATACTGCGCTATATAATGCAGTCATTCCACCTACCACTTCTTCCGAATCAACATTCAAGTGGTCCCTCGCAATAATATCCTGAACCTCCGATTTTGATAATGAAAGAAACTCGGTCATTTTGGCAACAGCTTTGAAATTCTGCATGATGAATTTGTCGGCCTCTTGAGCAAGGTTTGCGCAGCCCATGCTTTCTGCGAATGCTTTCACCCCAAGAACATTTCCAGGCCGGATTCTAGAACGAAAAACGTTGAACAAACATGAACTCACTATATTATGAAAACTTAGATCAGATTTCAAAACCGAATATACACGCATAAGACTCACGTTTTCAGCAGAAATTCACCACAGGCCGTTCGAACACCGTCCAGTTGAAGAAACGCCGCTCCTTGCAGAATTGATTGCACATTATCGCAGTTTATTATCACTTTCCCACTGTACGCATAATTTATCAGAGTCTCCAACGCTCTGCAGAAAACGAACAGAAAAGGCTGAATACCAATTGAATTAAGACCAAAAAGTAAGACAATAACTCACGAAGGCTCAATGCCTTGAATAGTAATTTCCCGTTGTTTGCTTTCCACCATATCGTGGGTGAACATGGCGTGAAAATAAGGAATCGTGGCAGCAAGAACGATTCTATGGGCACTGATCAGTTGGTCGGCCGCCTGCGGAAAAACCCTTACTTTCATCAATGAAGTTCCTTCTTTGAAAATAAGAGATTAGACAGAAATTTCATTAAAATTGTCTACGCAGAAGCTTTCTTTTTACGAATTTTCTCGACTAAACGGTTTGGCCAGATTGCAAAAGAGAATCACTACGGCAATAAAATCTGAGATAATCCCGTTGAGACTTTACATTATTCGCGACGCAGATTCCGACAGAATCAACAATCGAATTGCTGAATTTGGATTTAAACTTCGTTTAGCTAGATATAATTTCTTGATTTGTTCATTTGGATTCATACTTCAGAAAACTTACAAAAAAATTTTCAGAACTAGCGAGGGTATGCAGTGCAGTATTTTCGGGATAAGGAAAATCCAGTATTACGATCAGCGCACAAAAAAAGGTGCTGAGGATTACTTCACGAATGAGTTAAATCTTCAGAGAAACCGAATACACGCTACATTCAAGAGTTACACATTTGAAAATGGTAAAGAAATAAGAATTTCCGTTAAGCAGGAGACTGAGGATTTCAAGCATTTCGACCATGCGCCGCGTTTTAGGGACGTTAAGTTCAATTATAAAAATAAATGAAAATTCACAGCGATGATTGGGAAAGGAAAACTTTCAGCTCTCGGAATTTCATGCGCTGAGAAATTCAAGCAAAGCTTCGGGATTAGCTCGGAGGGAAAAAAATCAATCACACACCTTGACGGTAACATCGCACAATTTCCCACTCCTGCGAATTTCCTCCATCACGGGAAATGCAGCGCGGGCGAGACTCCCTTGCTCACAGTGTACGAACACGTCATCACAATCGAGCGAAATGCTCGCGTCCAATTTCCGCGACATTTCCGCCTCGGCACTAGCCTGTTCAATGTCGATTTCAGAAAAATCTTCAGAAATCATCAATAATCCAAAATAACGGTAAGCGGGAAGGAGCGAAGGACCAAAAATAAGTAGGCCGACATGAAAGCAATGATGTATCTTCAGGACATGGGACAGGAAATAAAATTCGAGATGCCTGAAAAGGAAATTTCCTTAATTTTAACCTGAGGTTATTCGTTCTTTGGCTCCAGTCTCATTTCCTGAAAGAAAAATATCATCGACAGAAAAAGTATCTTTGCAACCAAAATTTCCATGTCCTGACGAATGAGAAAAATTAGGGGCAGCTTTTTTTTATCCATGACATTTTTTGGTTTTGCAGAGTGCTGTCAAATGTGTAGACTTCATCCACGTCACTGTATCAAAATCGGGCCACTTTTAACCTTCGGTCCACCCTTTCGAAAAGCCAGAACACAACGGTGAATATCAACGAATAACTCGCAACGATCCATGTTTCGGAACTCAAAATATATATGTTCAATGCGTCAGAGAGCCGAGATATCTTTTAAAGCCTATCGAACTCCGGTGGCAAGCACGTGTCACCCAAGATCAACGATCGATTATGCGGAATCACAGGTGAAAAGACAAGCAAAAAAAGCGTGAAAATATTCCCAAGTTTTCGTTCACTGTTGCAACGTTTTCGTCTCTGGAATGTCATCAGTTGCGGTACTTCTCAATCCGTCACTATGAGTCGCTCGACCAGCCATATTCAGCAACGCCTTCGCGCCGGGGTCAACATCAAGAATGCTTCTACGCTCCTGCAATTACCCAAATAAAAAACCAAAACCAGACAATAAAATAGAGAGCCAACAGATAAGTCATTCGAGTCTTCACCTCTGGTTTCTCGGGTTCACTACCAACACCCCAGACTTCAATACAGTCAACTTGAAACCTCTCAGTTGAACACAGAGGTGATTTGGCATTGAACGTGGTGCATGTTTGAGCAGCAAAACCTTTCCCGAAATCAGAATCTAGCCAAAAGCCGAAATAATCGTGTTGCCCACCCATGCCCTACAGAGAAAAAACTTCAGTTTCACACAACGAAAATATATACTGTTTTTGATTCATCAACACTAACCAGACCGTTGGGCATCGTTTCTTGATTCATGTTCAGATACATGAAGTGATCATTATAGCCAGTAGTCCTATAAATTCTTAATCGTGGTTTCAGCGTGAACACAAATGCTGTGTTGTTCCCTGTAATTTTGAAAAATTCGATAATACTTAATCCTTCAACAAAGAACTGAAAAGCAATCCATGCATCAATTTTAGCCACAAAATTATCAACTTCAACAGTACAGTCCAGTTTATATACTGTACAGCAAATTAGGGTTAACCAGAATGTAGCAGACACTGTACAGTATGATGCACTTCTGTAGATTCTATTGAACAAACATGAGCATAGACGCGTATTAGACGTCGTACAGTATACGGTGGCCCGAAAAATTAAAAAAAAAAGGTGAAGTCTGAAAAATTGGACCTTTGGCTCCACGCTCCAAATTTCAATGCAATTGATTGTGAATTTTGAATACCAACGCATTTCACCTGCTTCAAGTCCGGGAGCTGAATTCAGGATTAAAGAAATGTTTTCACACACTTCGAAATGGTATAATTGCATAATTGATTTTCATTTGTTTACGACACATTACAAGAAAAACGTAAAGGCAAATTTTCTTTTCAGTAAATTCTCCACAACGTTCAGAGGTTATAAAATCGGAATTCAAAGCTATGAAAACTCACCTTGCCAATTGGGACTGACAGTCCAGCTCAATGGAGCAAAACCACCAAAAACTTCATCACTGCCACGCTCTTTCACAATGAGAATTGTCGGCCCACGATCCAAAATTGAGTTTATCAATCCAGTAAAGCTATCTCCTTGCAAATAGGACGAATAAACGAATCTCCATTGATGCCTAAACTCCAAAGGCAACTCAAAGTTCAGCATGGTCACAAATGGAAGCCCGAGCAACGTTGGGAATCGAGCCTTCGGTAAAAACGGGTGCTCGCAACTCGGTATCAAATGAGTTTGAGTAGAAGTCGGCGCATTTTCTGAGCCCGAAGGAAGCCACAAGAATCCTCGAACGACGGTTTCCATCATTTTCATCACGAGCGGGTTCGCAGATAGCCAAGTGGAGACATCATCATTCGAAAGTTCTTTGGTGTCATCAGTTCCAGCACTGGAAACTAGGGATTCAGACACTTGCGGAATCCCAGTATCGCCATCGAACCAAGATGTCTCCCCACGGTTTGTTCGGCCGATCATGAAAGATTTGACCAAATTCCTCGTGAACTGCGAAAAAAAAGGAAACCACAATGATCTACGTTTCAATTTCCGTTCAACATACTAGTACTGTACAATTTAGAAAATGAAAGACACGCGTCTACAACAAACTCCAAGAAAAATTACGAAAAACGAAATAAAGCAAATTTCAAAAATGTTTATACATCACAGAAATGAATTCAACTCCAACTTCCGCACACCTTGATTTCCTTTTACATTTCACAGGTGTCGTCTGGATACTTCACATTCTTTCGAGTAGAAGCACGGTCAGATTACTTTTATCACGGTCGTAACGAATGAATCGTGATGGCGAACAAAATTGTACACAAAAAGGGTTTTAAAATGCAACAGAAACATGACCAGGAACCAGTTCTCAAGCTACACTCACTCGAACATATAATAATTCAACGAATTATAATTCAAAGCCATACAATTCAGATTTGAATCGAATTCCCACAATAAGAGCAAAACTCACTGTTTTCAAATCCCCAATGGTCACCCGATCCTTCGTTGGATCTTTCGCAAGCTGGATAACGATCTTCGCACGTTCACTGGTAAACCGCGTCAGAAGTTTTGCGCTAAACGTTTGGAAATCTTTGAATGCAATGGAACCATCTGAATCCCGTTTCAAACCCAGTCTGGAAATGAGTGCATCTCCCAAAGAAGTTTCCCAGTTCCGCTTCACAAGTTTCTGCAAGGAAAAAAAAAAAACGGAACTATGAAAAATATACTGTATCTGAAAAATTTGAAAATCGACGGAACTTACATTGAAGTCTTCTCCAGGGCATTTCGGGGAACCCCGACAGGCTTTGCTGAAACCTTCCTTAATGGCATTTGACTCTTCCAAGGGAATCCGCGATAATTCACTCGAGCTCAGCTCCTTGCTGCCGCTGCTGTGTTTCGCTCCCATTATGGGAGAACACCGAAAAAAATGCCCTTGTATTTCACAATGAATGTACGAATTTCAAAGTAACCTGAAGAAACGAAAAATAAAAACCGCCAATCAAAATTCCGAAACTTTAAAAGAATCACTGAGCAATGAATGTAACCCGTTCTTACGAAACTTCCAAAGCACCTTCTTCAACATGACAGGTGCAACGCCGGACGTTAGCACCGAAATCCGAGCCCTGTAATCTACTCTTAAGCAGTATCACTTCTCAACTTTCCCCAAAAATGCCAAATTATTTCCAGATGTGATTTCAAGAACGACCGGAAAATCCTCAACACTCGCCGCATGATGAAACGTTTTCCCAAAAGGAAAATTGCAAAATGCCACGAAACGCAACAATCAAACAAGGAACAAGCCTTGTGCTATAACCAAACTAAGTCCTATAATCGAAACAAAAATTATGCGCATGTCTTTCGTCATAAACCATCCAAAACATGTTTCACTTTCTCGTAAACACCAAGGAAAATAGCGCCACCGACGGAGATCCAAATGACACGCGGAACCACACCAGCGAACAACCTGTAAATCACGAAGATTTTGATTTAAAAGATCTAGGAAAAATATTACCGTGTTTTCGCGGGAATAAGCGGTATTACTGAGTTTTAAAAAATCGTCGAAATTAGCTGATTTACCCTTTGATGCCTTTTTCTCTATACACGAGCGCCACAGCAACGTCAACTCTTCCCTGAGCAAGTTTGGCCTCGTGGGAATTCACAGCCAACATGATCCGCGTTTTGGCCACGTCCAAAGGAGTAGTGACACCTGCACTGAATCCTCCGGCAATTGCACCACAAATTCCAGCCTCGATCGCAGTGGGCTGATCACGTCCTCTATAACGTGCCAATGACACCTTGCTGGCTTCCCAAAGCGGAAACTGAAGTGCCGAAAAAGGAAGTTCCCGGAAGATCGTACTCAAGTATCCCCGATATAAGCCTTTGACTCCGTCAGTTTTAAAAGCGAATTTTAGAGCTTCGAGAACGTTTGCGTGATGTCCGACTTGTTGCCTCTGCTTCAGCACTTCAACCGGCACTCGGATTAAACAAGCCACCTAGAACAGAAAAACGAATGTAGCATGAATACAGTACTGTGATTAAAAATAAAATATAATTTGAAAAAAGACAAGGAAAAAAGCTATTCCTCATTGTGAAAAAAACTGCACAGAAGAATTTGCCCTGTTTCGGAGAGAGGTTTGTGCATTTGATTTTGAATATTTCACAAGAAGAACAAACTGTGCGAAAAAAATAATATGCATTACAGATTTACTTTTCAGTCTTGGATTGAAATTACAAAATTGAACTGAGCATGACGCCATACAATAATAAATTATACAGGCCGAGAAAAATCATCAGAATAATATTTTATATGATCAATAAATATTAACCAGACTGGCACTAAACATATCCAACCTATGAAGAATGAGCATGAAAGATTATTTTTTCCACAATCAGTCCTTAATATCACGCATCCGCATCTAAATTAATTTCTGCAAAAATTTCAACTTCCTCTACTTCTAAATTTACCCTAGATTAATTTGTGAAGATAAGTGTGGTTCCAATTTCTAATATCGAACAAGCAAATCTGGAAATTCAGAAACAAAATCAATATTGGAACTATGCCATAGGAAATTCAGACCGATACCAAGAATATATTTTGCACATCTTTGTTATGAAAAATACGCCATTGCTTCTACTAATTTTTCTGTTATTTTCAGTATGCTTCAGGCCCTGCGACGGCCGAAGTACTTCGATCTTTATTTTATTAGACCTTATTGTTCTGTCTTTGTGAAAGGGACAATAGTGCAGCTTGTGACTTTTTTTTAGACTTCAATTGGAACCTAGACTCAGCGATTCTAAAGCATCTAGAGGAAAACATAAAAAAACCTACCATTTCACCTAAAGAAGCGCTAAGAACGTGGACGGCTGTACTATGTAAGCCTCGTCGCCGAAGAATCTCCTTCCCAGTATCATACGTCAAAAAGAACACAGCTCCTGAGGAAAAAATGGCATCATAAAACAAAATTATTCTTTAATACACAGTGGCTTCTGTATCCCGTTGCTTTTCAATATCAATCATGAATAATTGGTAATTTATTCAAGAATTCGTGAACGAAATTTTGAAGGGTCCTCGAACGGATTATTCATTTAATACTGAATAGCTTTACATTCCTCAGTCAAGGGACATTTCGCGAGTCTGGGACTTCTCGGGAATCGAGAAAAATACTTCTCACAACAGAATAAATTGTATTAGTCACGAGAAACAATAAATTAATCGGAAATTATCCGCATAAAAGGAACTTCACGAAGGAAATAATCAAGGCAACCCAGTCAAAATGTTGCGTTGCTCACCACTCGGAACCGAACCAAGTAATACTGGGGTCAGTCCACAGTATATCCCTCTGAATCCACCTGATGCTTTAAAGCCAGACGCACTCTCGTTAGACCAAAAATAACACAGGTTGCCTTTTTCCCTTTGTAGGTGACGTTTAGGTCGTTGAGGTGGCCGGATTTACCATCTTCTAGTTATTTATATTATTCACTTTAGAATATTTTGTTTATATTAAATCATCCACGCAATCAAATTATTACTTGTGCAAGATATCTCCCTTCGACACAACACTTTTATAAAAAAAAGTGCACCTCCTGTAGGTAAGCCAATACAGTACAAATTACAATAAAGATAAACAATAGGTTATTTCCTGATGAACTTCAAGCATTACCTGAATGAAAAACGAAAAGTGACAATCCGAAGTGACGTAGATCTATCGATATTGAGAACAAGGTTAATTTTTCAATTAAGATTATCGAAGTGAACCTTCACTAGCAGTTCTTCGTGGCATTGCATTGAGTTCTCGAGGCATTTCTTTTAAAAACGGGGGCGTTTTCATTTGTTTTCAATACATTTCAGCTTCTGACAGACTCAGAATCTTCCCTATCACTCAGAGTCCTACTGTATGGTTAAAACAAAAAGTCAGCCTCTTTATTAGTGCAGAATACAAACGCATTTACTCCATATAGTATCCATGATTGGTGCTCTCGTACTTCTACCGGTAAGCCATTCGACATAAGTAACTAAAAAATGCAGATTCATATTGACTCAATAAAAAAAACGCAACATAACACTCGTCATCGTCTCCCGCAAGTGATTTTGATTCTTTCGCGTTTCATCGTGGGAAACGGTCATTGGTAAACGAAACGATTACCTCACCAGCTGAACGAAAACCACTTGCGAGCCTTGATGAGAAAGGATACGAGTCATACGACACAAGCAGAGCTAATTTTTTTTTAATCGAAGACAAGTTTTACACAGTCAAGTTTCTGATGAGCCGTTCTGATACAAATTGAATGTCTTTTTCCGTCAGTCCAAATACACAAAAAAATCCGTAAAAAAAATGGAATATGCGACCGTCCACGGAATATTGACTAGCTCGGAGTTGACTCTCCATTGGTATCGTTCGGTTTATTCTTCAGGATGAAATTCGCCAGAAATTCGTAAGGGTCCAGTGGACGTTCTCTGGCCAGAATGGCTAATACCGTCCACGGAATATTGACTAGCTCGGAGTTGACTCTCCATTGGTATCGTTCGGTTTATTCTTCAGGATGAAATTCGCCAGAAATTCGTAAGGGTCCAGTGGACGTTCTCTGGCCAGAATGGCTAACCCTCGGATGGCGGAAGGGTCCTTTCCATCGGGGGACGGAGTCGGACTTTTTTCGGGTGCTCCCCCGTTTTCGAATTTCTGAAGGTCAGAAAAGTGCCCCCAGGTCGGGTGAGGCGAAATCAGGGTTTATCCGTAAAAAGACAGTTGCTGCTATTTTCCGAAGTCGGACTTTTTCCGACTTTCACAGTTCTGACCTTGTCTCATCCTCCCTCAGCTTGAAGCCTCAATATTTTTACTTTTAAATGTTTTTGGATTTGCTGGGAGCTTTTCATGAGATTTCGTCCGGTTTGTCACACTTTTTAATGTTACTAAACAAGGTGAAGTCGAATAAGGGGTCTCGATTAAAAAGGGTCCGAAAGATTCGGAAGAAGTCTTACAAAGAGTTCCAAGAAGAAGGTTTGTAAGAATTTCAATGAAAGTAGGGATTTGTGGTACACAGAAGGTGGAGAAAATTAAGAGGATTTTGGATGAGCTGTGGAATTTTTATTCTGAATTATCCATTTCTGCCTGGCTTGATGCACCTCATGTGATTTCTTTTGGCAAGGATCTTCAGGTCTGAGAAGCACAGCAGCAGGGGAATGAAAAAAAAATTGAAGGAGCATTTTTTTCATTTTCAGGCAAAATTTGTCTGTGCAAGTAGAAAAAAATGCCAGGATTTTTCCTGACTTCAAGGATCTTCAGGTCTGAGAAGCACAGCAGCAGGGGAATGAAAAAAAAATTGAAGGAGCATTTTTTTCATTTTCAGGCAAAATTTTTCTGTGCAAGTAGAAAAAAATGCCAGGATTTTTCCTGACTTCGCCCTTCTCACACTGTCTTCATTTTTTTCATCTTCCACCTGGGGTGCAAGCAAATTTCGCGAAAAAAGTCCGACTTAGCCGCCCAAGGGTTAATAGTAGAAAAAAATGCCAGGATTTTTCCTGACTTCGCCCTTCTCACACTGCCTTCATTTTTTTTCATCTTCCACCTGGGGTGCAAGCAAATTTCGCGAAAAAAGTCCGACTTAGCTGCCCAAGGGTTAAACCTTGAACTAACACAGGAACAATCGTCTGATCCAGGTACTGCCGCATTGGTAGCTGATTTTGAGTTTGCAAGCCCGGCATTCTCACGTCACTCGAATCGTTTGAATTTGTCATACTTGAAAAATACCGTCCACGGAATATTGACTAGCTCGGAGTTGACTCTCCATTGGTATCGTTCGGTTTATTCTTCAGGATGAAATTCGCCAGAAATTCGTAAGGGTCCAGTGGACGTTCTCTGGCCAGAATGGCTAAACCTTGAACTAACACAGGAACAATCGTCTGATCCAGGTACTGCCGCATTGGTAGCTGATTTTGAGTTTGCAAGCCCGGCATTCTCACGTCACTCGAATCGTTTGAATTTGTCATACTTAAAAAAAACGCAGGAGCCCAGTTCAATAAAATCTGAAAAAGAGAACGAATGATACAGAATGATGACGATTCGAGAATAAAGCCGTTTCTTCGCCAATTCGAGAACACATCGCAACAAAACACGAATGTTGAAAGATAATCCCGCCAAGAATTAACGCCATCTGCACCAAGACTCGCGCAAAAAGAACAATGAATCAACGAAATTAGATCAACTTAATCAACACAGAGATCCGCCTCCATTTTTTTCCAACCAGTTTCTTAGTGAAACTCCGCGAGTAGTTTTCAGAAAAGGCCGAAAACCTAGTCGAATTCGAGTTCATTATGTACAGTATTGCTTACGACCCTAGCTTCATCTTCACTTTTTACACCATTCGTTTCAAATTTAAATCAGTAAACTTCACCACTGTTTTAACGCGACTCGCGCGTAATTCAGTCTTCGTCACATCAGAATCAAAATCCTGTGAAAACCCGACGTAGAATTTTTTTTAACAGAACAACCACGACCAGACGATTTTTCAGCTATCAACGCCGATTTTTTCCTTATCAAACTTTCAAAACAAGAGAAATGCTCATGCTCACACTCACACCATAAACCAAGGATTACGAACTTCGAATTCGAAGCCGAGACCACATCGATTTGACAAGGAGAAAACCTCCAGCTAACGCCACCGATGCGAGAGCGATCTTCGCCAAATTTTCTATGGATGATTTTGAAGATCTCTTCCGTTCTGGGTCCAGAATGCTTCGAAATTTTTCTGTCGTCTCTTTAAGGTCTTGCAGGTCAGGAATTAATGCAAGCTCAATGGCGCTGAGCAAGTCTTCTGGCGGCAAAATAAGGTTTCCCCGCTGATAAACGGAATTTTTCGCATTCCTGTCCTTTGCTACATCTGCAGGAAGAACAATGCGTCCGACATCTGGTTCTTCTAGTGCAGCCTTCATGATTTCGACCCCGGTTCGGTATTTCTTCATACTGACGACCATATTCAAATAACATTGCAGAAGATCATCGATAGCAGGATGCAGCACATGCCGAGGATTCAAATCTTTTAGGGCTTCATTCCTGAAAAATTTTTCGTATGCGGAGGTCACAGCCTCTAAACAGAGGGGAACGTCTTGCTCCATGACACCAAGTTTCAAAATGTCTTGTTCTCTCAGCCTAACAAACTGGTTCAATTCGACGTTTTGCGAACGAAGAAGATCCTCGTAACGGTGTAATTCGAACTCTCTCAAATGGTCTATGAGTAATCTCTGTGAAGAAGGAAGTTCATCGCCTTCACATGTGTCCGACTTTTCTTCGCAGTAACTACGTTTTGCGAACGAAGAAGATCCTCGTAACGGTGTAATTCGAACTCTCTCAAATGCTCTATGAGTAATCTCTGTGAAGAAGGAAGTTCATCGCCTTCACATGTGTCCGACTTTTCTTCGCAGTAACTCGTATTTCCCGAGGAGTCGGCATCATCATCGTTCTGCTCCGAAAAATCCTCACTTTTAACAGTATTTAAGTATTCCAAAAGAACAGGCAGATTTAATTTTTGGGCAGCATTCATGAGTGCTCTGATCTCGTATTTCCCGAGGAGTCGGCATCATCATCGTTCTGCTCCGAAAAATCCTCACTTTTAACAGTATTTAAGTATTCCAAAAGAACAGGCAGATTTAATTTTTTGGCAGCATTCATGAGTGCTCTGAATGCCGACAATGAATTCCAATCTTTGTGATACAGATCGGCCCCAGCGGATACCAGAGACCGCACGACTTCCATATCCGGTAAGCGTTTTGCAGCAACGTGTAACAAATTGTTTCCACACTCATCTCGATACAACACGGAGGCACCAGCAGAGATCAATTCCAAGGTACACAGTTTCGCTCCTGACCATACCGTACAGTAGAGCGGAGAATAATGATAACCTTTTTTGACATCCACAGTGTGCCTGATCATACAGCTGAGCATATCGGCGGCAATGGCGTCAGGAAGATCAGATCCTTCCACCAAACAGTTGATGGGAAAACGGTGGCCTACACCTGCATTCACATCGTAACCCAGCTCCAGTAACTTCAGAGCGCATTTCTTCGCCTTGAACCGGCAAGACATCATCAAAGGCGTCATCTCCAGAGTGACGCGCCCAAGATCGACACCACCATCGAAAAGCTCTTGTATCATGCTCACGTCATCGGAAAGGAAAATTCTCTTCAGGGAGACAAACGTATCCACTGCACTCATCGAATCCCACACAGCAGGAGAAAAGCTCTCGGCCTTCCGGCCAAAGTCACCATGCATGGACGACATAGTTCCACTGACAACTGAAAACCACACCAATCAACAAACTATAGTCACTCAGTTCTACCCAAAAGAACAACTCATGCCTCCTCAACACAACTCGTCGGACTGAACAAACACGGAGCTACTATTAAGTGTGAGTCATAGTTAGTCGAAAGAGGTAGTTCCTGTTGAACAGGCGTCTAGTAACTGCACAAGCGACTTTTGCTGCTTATCTAGATTATCACTTTGCGGAGTTCATTGCAAAGTCATCCTCCAGGCACCTTCGCCGGTTACGCAGCTCATGCTGGGCAGCTACCTCACGTGTACAGTAATGTACTCTACTTCTAAATCGAGGGTCACCATCAGTGACATCATTGAGCCCATTAGAAAATAGCATTGTATGTGGCTTACCTACGGCCAGGTTCGAACTGAAGCTATGTAGAATAGTCCGAAAAGCTGTTGCCCGAACAAAAATAAAATCGTCCAAAGGCGCTGACCCGTTTGGCGTGAGTGGACTTCTCGCTGGAGCTCACATATGAGCTGCCGAATTTACGCTGCTCCCCCTTCCCCCTGCCTCACTCCCTGAACCCATCACTCTCTCTTTGAAGAAAAATCATGAGAGACTTCAGAAGGCCTGTTTGAATAGGTATATATAATTCACACTCAGTATCAATCAGCTTTCTCCATCAAGGACAACTTGTCCGCAGATCATTGACGTGTTCGCTGAAAACGACGAATAGATCTAATAGTGAAACGCCTCAAGTAACGTTTCAGTAGGAGCAGGCACCTTCGCCGGTTACGCAGCTCATGCTGGGCAGCTACCTCACGTGTACAGTAATGTACTCTACTTCCTGTCGCCGCTACAATAGATTGAGCAGCTTCAATTCTGCAACTATGCGCGTCCTCTAGTTTCACGTACAAGTACTTGAGGCAACGTCAGCTGTTCCAATTTTCATATACAGTACCTCACTTGAACTCAGCATGTTTACCGTACTAATAGCCAAGACGAACCCGTGGTCAAATTCTTGAGAAACAGGAAAAGCTGAATACGTTATTCAGTTCTGGAGCTTGAAATGTACTTTCATTCACCTACAGAGTTCCACACTTATTCAGAAAACTGTTGCTGATCAATTAATTGAAGTTGCATGGCAACCACATATTCATAATCACCATCCCTTAAAAATTAAATGAGTTAGCGCCGGTTTCTTATTCCCATTAGAAGATGCGAGGCTTTATCTCGGACACCATCCCCTTATTTAAGAGAACAACAGTCATAAACTAGACGTGGAAAAATCAGAGAACATCCTACTTCATAAGCAGATAAACTTTTCATTATTGCCTCATATCAAAGTTGAATCAGCTTCTCGAAAATGCTCCCAGAAATTCACCTCATTATGGTAAAAATTTTAGATTGCCTAGGGAATTGCACCCATATACAGGTCCAGAAGGACACTGGCATCAGGGTAAGATAGGAATTGATGACCTGAGCATTTGAAGTCAACGGTCATGAAACATAATTTAAGCCATTGCAGAATTTTTTAAAATTTATCGAGGTCAAAAAAAGGTTATACAGTAAATTTAAAGTCTCAATAATGGTTCACGTTATCACCATCATTCATTGTTGTCTGCCCATGCCATGTTTATGAAGCAATTAGCTGATTGTCAGCCAGCAGTCCTTCAACGCATTTTTTTTACAAAATGTGCTGCAGCATCATGAAGAATGCCTATATACTGCATTTGCTGAAGACCTATATTTTTTTCCACCAAAGAACATCACAAAACAGATATCCACGCATCAACGGTAGAAAAATAAAAAGTTTAGATAGCTCAAAACCTTGCCAGCAGATACAAAACAGCAAATATATAAATCGCATTCACATTGAGAATCGCGCAGGTGGAGGACAAAAACGCGTTTCTCCGATTTTTACAGGGGCACCATTTGAAAAATTCTTGAACTCAAAATTAAAAATTACCCTTTTTGATGACGATTTATTCTCGCGGTGCCAGCAAATCTTCCGACTGGAAATGAACAAGCAAGTTCTGACGAGGATGATTTCCAAAACAAACAAAAATCCGCAAAATTTCGTTCGCCAAAAAAATAAAAATAAAATTACGCATCACGGTTCCAGCAGCCGTTCGAAATTCTGCATTCCCTTCGACATCAGGTTGTACAAAAGCTTATTGATGACTTGAATCAACTGCGGCTTGATCTCGTTCACAATCGCCTTCCCCGACTCCTTGTCGTTGAGAATGCCTTCCAGCAGAGGAACTGATGGGAAAGCCAAGCAAGCAGATATGTCGTCACACAAAAAATACCCCAAGGATGAATGTCAATGCGAACCGGTTACGCAACGTAATTACAACGAAGGCAGTTGGAGGGGAGGGGAAATGATGATAATAATAATAATAATAAAAATAAAAAAGCGAGCTCTCGGTCTTGAGAAAAAAGTTTCATAAGAGCCCAGCACAGTGGCAGAGAAACCGGACAAAACCGAAATATGAGGGACTCACTGATGGGATCCTTTGGGTCATTGGACGTAAACGTGAACTTCGCATCGTGGAAGTCGAAGTCGACACCGATTCGCTGCAAGAACACTCCGAGTCCTCCTGCTCCCGTTGTCGCTTCTTTGAATATGCCCAGGCCTCGAACATCGAGTTTTGCTGTATATAAGGAGAGCAAAAACATACAAAAAATGTAATGGCAATCAACAGACGAACATAACAAGACGAAGTAATAGACGTACAATTATTGATCTGACAATAGTATACGTCTCCTCGCTGCAGGTCTAAAAATTTTCAATTCAGATTCATCTTTTCGATTTTACAGGATGGAAAGGAAAATGTCGGTTTAAAATCCAGCCAATTCGACGCACCGGTTTTTTTTTATCCCACTCAAGGTTTCCGTTCATTCCTTCATCTTCAGCACATTTCTCACCTAATAAAAAATTACTTTTAAATGTCCAAATTGTTCATCTAACTTTTCGGCATTTAAAATTCGATTGGGGACGAGTAATTTAATATTTTATTAATGCTCAAGCAGCATTCGAACTAACAATCAACCTCATATATACGGTAATATATCCTATATCTTTATGAACGTGAGATAATATTGAACTCCGGGTATTATTTACTGCAACTCAACTCCAACTTTACACCATTCGCAGAATTTTTGGTATGCGAGTTATAGAAATAATTTTTCTATGATAACCTTAAAATTTCAACGAAGGTTATTGCAACCACAATAACAAGAAACCAATTTTAACGGCAATTTATCTTTTATATCCGAGCCTAAAATTAAAAATTATATGTTTCACAGTCATTGCTTTAAAATCGATCCGTGTGCCTTTGACATTTTAAGCTTTAACTTTTTTTTTGGCACAGAGATAAAATAATTTCTATTCTCCTAAAGATGTCACATCACTTTCCACGTCTTTACAAAACAAAAATCGACGATGAATTTGAGATACTGTTTTTACTACATAACCTCTCACTTCACAATTGATACTCTAGAAACATACAGTATAAGCTAAACAAAGAAGTTAATCACCTTCAAAATGGAAAAATAAACTACGAATGAGGGCATGATCAAATTTAATTGAAAGTGAAAATACTTTTTTAGCTTTTGATACTGCTGTACAAGCAAATTTTTGAGTGCCTGGAACATGTTACATGGAAGTAATCATCATCAGAGGACAGCTGGCCAAATGTTTTCTCACAATTTCCCTTTCAATTCAAAGTATTTTTAACTTGGTTCAGAAAGTGCTGTAAAATTATAGACAGAGTTAGAAGAACGCGTTAGATCAGTTTTATTGAGTTCTTAATTTTCTGAAAGGGTACACATTTTAAAAAACCCCATTATATCTAGCAGTTTGCTTGGGAATCGAAACTCCTCTCGAAATTCTGTGAGTCAGAATTCTGAAGAATCACTCGTGGTGAAGCAATTGGGATTTTGATTAATTTATCAATCAGGGTTCAAATTAAAACTCAAAAATGTAACACACAAACAATAAACAAAACCTCGCATTATTCGTTTTCTTCATGAAAACTCGCTGCAATTAAAAAAGGTCACCTTGTTGGAATTTAAGGAAGTAAATAATATCAATATTTTGGATGATGATTCAAAGTAGGTTAAAAAAAAATAGTTAACAGCGTACCGAATTCAGTGCGAAACTTCCCGAAAGATCTCGAGGCACTGAAGCCTTCAAGCCACGGAAAGAGGGCTTTCACGAAGTTGATGCTCATTTCAAAGTCTCCTTCCAGTCGTAAGTTTGGGATGCTGATGAACAAAGACGCTCGGAGATTCTTGGGATTCACCCTAAACAAGACGAACAATAAAGGAGTTGAGGAACAATGAGGAGTTTATGAGTCGTCAATCGCTAAAAAGAAATGGTCAGAGAAATAAGCTAAAATGGAGGTAAATATTTAGTGAACGTTTAAAAAGAATTGCTTGAAGCCGGAAGAAAAATGTGTAGTCATTATTCTAAAAAAAAAATACAGTAACCGCTTGATAACTCTTGTTACATGATACAGAATGTGACGAATAAAATTTTTCTTTTGTATGAAACTTCACGTAAGAAAAATCCTCATTTTCATTATTACTGCAAAATTCGCAAATGCAGATTCAAAGCGCTGAAATACCACGGAATAGCGTGAAAATTTCCCGAACACTTTTTTCACTTTGGCTCGACTAAAATAATATAATATTTGCGCTCGTTCAATACGAATAAGAAATCTTAAATATTTATTTAAATGTAGAACGAAATAGCACGCTTCTCGAATAATTATTTCTTTGAATTTAGGCCAGTTTATAATTTTCGGCGTCTTTATGACGCCGAAAATTAAAGCCTCAGACATTGCGGGAAGTGATTGAGGGTATACTCCATTTTCATTACGAGAAGGATAAAAATGACGACAAATAAACTTTTACCATTAACTTATATTCCAAAGGAATTTCTACGATGCAACTCTCAATAAGTGTGTTCGACCTCCACATGGAAGTTAAATGAATTAAATACGGTAAAAAAACATAAAAAGAATTAGCCTATTTCCGGATACTTATTTTTAAATTTAAAAACGCGTAATTCTGAGGACGAGTTCTATAATTATTTAATCCTTCATCTGGATTTACATGCAATGCACTTAATTTTATGACATAACAGTACAGTAGGTTAATTTAATGCTCAGATTCAACTTTATGAATATGAATGAAAGCATCACTTTCTTCAGCAACAAAAGCTGACAGAATAAGGAATTTTAGGCTTCGTAACTAACACAATGTTGAGGTTCTCAGTTGTCAAGCCGTTGGTGACACCGTAGAGCCGAAGGTTGGTGAAATTCCCGTTGATGCTTCGGTCACTGTCAATAGAAACCTCCTTCAGGTCAAACGGATCCACGCGCGGAAGCTCGAGTTCGGGGATGCCATCAGGATCTTTGAGCCGCGGTCCGACGGAAATTAGAATGTCCTTCAAGCATGACGCCATTTCAGTGCCATCGCCTTCGCTCCAGCTGCCTTGACTCTGCTGGCACTGCAGCAATCGCTTCGCTGTATAATCCAAGAAGACATAAATCCGTCACAATAAAACACAGTAACACATACGGCAAAACAAAGTTCATCAACACATCATTCAAAATACAATTTCCCGCCTCATATTCGTCGAATCCCACACCCAGCACTGAATACAGTATACAGTATATATAAACACAAAACCCGGCGGTACATTAACGAAACACGTTGGTAAGCAACACTGTAAATTGGTGATACAATATTTCTTTGCACAGTATACTACTTCTCCGCGTGAAGGATCACATTGACGTTACTGTCATATCAAGTCTACTCAAGAACTTGAAATCTCTGAAAGCATTATTTCGCGTCTTTAAAACTGCTGTTCGAGGAGGAACCTTGAAACAACGATCGTTCGATGCACGCTGAATGTATGCTTGGAATACTCAGGTCAAGAGTCGCATTTCGAGTTGACAGCCCATCAGTCATCACTCAGAAGTCCGAGCCACTTCTAGGACGACCCTCATAAATAAAGGCTCAATTTGAACAATTTCCCTTTCGGACGCAGAATACTGTACGTTTTCATACGAAGGCGCCGATGACAACCGGCAATTATGTATTTCTCCGGAAAACTTCTAACCCGCACACCTCAGAGGTATACTTCTTGCGTCGTCACACCTGATGAATCATTCATGACGGCTAACAAGGCATAGACATGGGCATCCGAACATATCTAGATCTGACGCGTTCAGCATGCTGCAAGAATATCACTGGTGTCCGAACCAAATTCTCCAGCTCATATACTTGCGGTGGGTTGAACAAACACGCGGACCAATCAAGCTTTCAACATACCAGTACAGTAGAGTGCAGAATGTACTTCACAATACACTATTACAAATGTATCTTCAGTTTAAGATGCAAAATTCAACCTCCGGCATTTCTGCTGAGGACCGACCGTAAATAAAGTCCTGATGACCCATTGCTCTGCAAGACTGCAACTGTGATTTCTCAATTTCCTCTTGCAGTTAATCGTCTTAGTTCGTCTCCTTTTGTTTTCTAAGGTAGTTTGGTGAAAGGAGTATAAAAGCTAGTTTCCGTATATGACTTTTGTTAAATTTACTTTTGTCATTGCACACTATCCGACCAGCGGTTTCTCTGGTTTTATGATTAAAGTAAATATAAATATAGATATGGATAAAAATAGAATATCCTGCGCGCTGCAAAATCTCATCATCAGTTCACAGGATACGTCCAGCGTAAACCGGAAGCCACTATACTGCTGTTGAAGCAGCATGCTGTGTTGTAACTTGGAGCGGCTCTCACCAGAAAAACCACAAAAGGGGGGGAATTGCTGCATGGGGGAAGCTGGGGCTCAGCAAGCATCAAGCAAGCATCCCGTGCTATAAAACTCGGGACGCCATAACGCCGGGAATGTGTTGCAGAACCCGGCATCAGCTGTTTCTCCAGCAGCAGCACAGGCGCCGCGAGTGCATATTATGATGCCCAAGACCGCCAGTTGCGTTGTGTCACGCACTACATGTAGTTAAAGAGACAGGGGGAGGGGAGACTGTTTTTCAAGGACGGAGCAAGCCTACTACCTTAACTCTCTAAACCTACTTATTTCCTCCTACTCTTCTCTCTGTTTGTCCAACGTGTTGACAAGGGTCATATCGTCGACCCAGGTCGTGGGGGTTTATGTCCACCTGAGAGAGAGAGAGAGCATATATATATACAGTACAATGATATTTTCTACAATAACGAATTTCTCTGTTTGACAAAATTTTTTTGGCCCCATAGGGTTTCCTCACATATAAAAAATGTTCACTGCAGCAAATTTTTTCTGGTCTCTTCAATTGCATTCAAAAAAAGAGTCCATCTGCATACAGATTTTACACAAGCATGCATTATACAGTTGGGCTCCCTCATCTACCAAAAAATGCAAGGGACCAGAAAATTTTATTTATTTATTTATTTTTTATTTTTTATCTTCACAGCATTTTTTCTTAGAAAATTTGCTGCATTTAAATTATTTGTTTTTCTCTCTACAGCAAGGTTTTTCTTGAAAAAGTTGTTGCATTTAAATTTGATGTTTGTATCTCTACAACAAATTTATTGTTTTTATCCCTGAAACAAGTGTTTTCTGGTCCCTTGAATTTTGCAGTAGAGAGTCCACCAGTATAATGCATGCTTCTCTAAAATCTGTACACACATGGATTCTTTCTTCAATGCAATTTAAGGGACCAGAAAAAAAAATGTTGTCAAGAAGACAATTTATAGTAAGCCCATATAACCTGGAGAGGGAACCCTATTGGACCAAAGAAAAATTTGTTTGCATGTGCATGGAACGTTAAACTGGAGGGTGTTAAACTGACAGAACGTTAAAATACCAGTTTAAACGTCCCTCCAACGGAAATAACGTTAAACTGGGAACGGGGTCTTAAACTGGACGAAAAAGGTAAAAACCACTGTTTTTTTAATTATATTTTGAATTCGATGGAGTGTCTTGCAATTTGACCCTTGTCACCATAACATTCTGTGCACTCCTTCTGTGCTCATTGCTGGTCTGGACTGTTGTCCTGTATGTACAAAATATATGCTTGCTGAATTATAGAGAAGTTGACTCACTTTGCATTACTCTGGCTATAAAGATTAAATGCTTCTCAACAAAAGTTGTTCTACTGCAATCATTGGATTAGGGTAACAAAACTACTAAGCATAGAAGACGTTTAATGAGTAGAATTGAAACTCTTGTCAAATCCAACAGTTTAGGATAACACCCTGTAGTTTGGCAATGGATTAGGGTGAAATTGCAAGGTACCACCTGTACACAGAAAAATGTTGTAGACACAATTTTTCTTAGATGCACTTGCACATATATAGTCCCAGCATGGGGTGAGTTGCTGGGATGAATACTGTACTGCTGTAAACTGAAAGGCCTCTGGATATAATATCCATTCCAAGTCATTACTAGCTGTTGGGTGTTATACAATAATGCAGTATTAACAAAAAATCCGCAGATAAACTCAAAGAGAAGAACTTTTTTTCATTTACATGGTCTTTATAACTTGGAGGAACATTTTTTAAAATTAAACTAAAATCCAAGTGGCCCAGATTCATCATTATCGACTGTCAATGTCCATATATATAATCTTACCTCAGTACCGGATACAGACAAGCTGATCACGCAAGAAAAATGGATCAAGGTCCCAAGATTTATTCGGCGATTATCCCTTCAAGATGATGTAAATTTACGACTTTGTTTTTTTTTACAAACAACTGGAGCATGCTAATCATCTAACAAGCACTTACTTGAAAACGGCTATCGTTGATTCTATGGAGTCATTTATTGCGACACGATCATCAGACAGACATGAATCAATGATCAGCAGTTAGGGGTTCTTTGCGACAAGAAGCGGGTTTTTCGAGGCTTCATTATTTTTCTGCCTATTGAAGATCTGGCATCCCTGAAGAATTTAAACTCTCATTGCTATGATGATGTATATTTAAATAAACAATTTCCTTTTCTGCAGTCTGTTTGAAATTGAATTACTTTTGGAGAAAAAATCAGAAAAAAACATTGCAGCAAAAGTATTTTATAAATGAATCAATTTTTCACGGCTTTTGAACATTTTGTCAATTTGCGACCTTGACTTCGTTTGAAAAATAAGTGTTGATATACTCTTAGCAATTGAAAACATTAGTTGTGTTGAAAATCCGTCCTTTGAGCAAAAATCAATTATATGATTTGCATTTTGAGTCGCCCTTTTCCTAGCTGGCTTTGAGAAAAAAAGTCAGTGATGATTAGAAAGAATTTTCCAAGATTGTGATGAAACACGCGAACTTCAATTAATTTCATTGTGTTTCCCATTGAAAAAAAAATGTTTGCTTGCAAATGCGATTTCTAAAAAATTACTCATAATTGGCAAATTGATTTGCCGTTTTCCGCCCTGAGGAATTTAAAAACCGAAGAAAAGCACAAGAAGAAATTAAAAATTATGAAATTTCGCAATTCTTCCCAAGTGAATGCCTAATTAAATGCATATATATTCAATCTTCAAAAATTGCGCCAAAAAACGCAACCTTGAATTATGAATGTTTATCCCATTTAAAAATTGACTTGCAAACGTGCTATTTTGAAAATCAATCCCTCATGAAATAATAAAATTAATTTGCTCTTTCCTCGATTCAAGAAAGAGCCAATAATAAAAGGCGTTAAATTAATGTTATAAAATTCAAAAAATTATACAATTCCTCAAAGACGGAGGTAAAACACTCGACCTTGGATTCATTTCAAAACTAGAGTTTGTCAGATAAAAAAAGGACTTTCAGATGCATTTTACCACAAAAATTTATTCACCATAATAAATAAGCAAATCAAATTCCCCTCCACCCAATCCGGAGAAGAATCAAGGAAAAGGATGATGCAAAATGAAATTATAACATTTTCAAAATTTCAGAATTAAAAGTCTTACAATATATTGGTGAAAAACGTTACCTTGATTCCTTTTTAAAAACTTCCAATTGAAAAAAAAAATTAAAATATATTTCTTAATTCTTAATCACGATAATGAATGAACAACGGTCCTTTAATTAGCTCTTAATTGGAGATAACCCAATTAAGATGAAGACGATGCGTTTCATAATTTTTTAAAAATTGCCATCTTTTTCCAAGATTCAGTTGAAACACGCAACCTTGAAATCACTTCAGAATGAGTGATTCCCAATAAAAATAATTTATAATGCAAAATTACGGTAATCATAGAATAATCATAAAATTTATAAAATTCTTCATCAAGGACTGAGGTGAAACACGGGACGTGAATTCATCGAAGTAAATGAGTATTTCCCGGAAAAAATAATGGTAATGAATTCGCGCAAATCCACTATTTTAAATAATGTACTAAACTAACCATGATCAGCAACTCAATTCGTCCTTTTCCCGGTTTGTGGTGAAGCCAATATAGATGAAGCATCCAAAATTATAAAATTAAAAAAATTCTCCCTCAAAATTGCGAAGAAACACGCGCGACCTTGATTTTAGGTCAGAATAATTAAATCCCATCACAAAATAAACTTATTCGTTAATCCAGCATTTTTACAATATTTAACTCACCATGACAATTAGCTCTATTTTCCTTTTTCCGACGTCAGGAAAAGCCAATAATAAACACTTATTTTTTAATTATAAAAGTCACGAAATTCTTCAAAAATTTCCGCGAAACCCGCGACCTTGAAACCATTGAAAAGTGAGTACAGTATTTCATCGCAAAAAAAAAAATGCATTTACTTGAAAATCCGGTATTTTGAATAATGCATAACTCAGCACCATGATAATAGAAAGCAACTCGATCCGCGCCTATTTCTGACTCAAGGGGAGCCAATATTGTATGTATTATTTAAAACTTTAATTATTTTTAAGAAGTTTCTAACGTCATTTTTTGTGCCGGAACCTAAGGGGCTCATTTGTACTAAAGGTGTTGTTGTTGTTGTTGTTTTAAAGGGACTTTTAGGCACATTTAAAATTTTAAAATACTGTAAGCTGTACTTACCTGTGGCGATTTCAGGGAAGCAAATTTCATCACCAAGACAATCTCAAATTTACCAGTGAGCTGATCCAGTTTATTTTGAGACCCATAAAACTACAAGCTGGAAGCCCAGAAAGGGCTAGAAGATTCTTGAATTATTTTAGAGTGTTTAAAGCTGGGTTTGCTGCCTGTTTTCCTTCTATTATTAGACAGGAAATAAGGAAAGGGAAAGGAGTCTTTATTTTAGTGCATGGTCTGCTCACCCCTGGAGGCAGTGGGGACCTACTGGTTTTATGACTGGTTTTCTTAGAATTGCAAGGTTTTATTTTACCAATGCTTTTTCTTAGAAATTAGAAAATAGTTAACCCTTGGATGGAGGAGGGTTATTTCCCATCCCAGGTCAAAATTCGATTATTTTTGTATGCTGGGGCATTTTAAGTCTTCTGAAAGTCAGAAAAGACCTTCCAGGTGGGCCGAGGCAAAGTTGGGATTAATCCAAGAAATGCCCGTTGGTTAGCATAGAATTGTTTTTCCCTCAAAATTTTTCTGTGCAAAACAAAAAAACATTGGGATTTTCCCCAACTATGTCCTCAAATCCCTGTTGTCCTTTTTTTATTTTCTTCCCTGAGGTGCAACAAAATTTTGTAAAAATAGTCCAACTTTGCCGCCCAAGGGTTAACAGAATCCTGGACAGATTAGAATGACGCCACTGACAGTAATGTCTGAATACATCTGGAATTCCATGGGACCAAGTTTGACCTTGAGTTCCCACAAGAGTTTGGATTCTTGGGGAAATCCTGAAGAAGGGATATAAAACAAGTACCTGTTTTAAAACGTTTTCCTTTTCCAAATTTATGGTCTAACTAACGTACATTGTAGTAGTCAACGAGACCCAGTTAGAGTACGTTTTCTGATGACGTAACAGTTTTGATACCTTTTGCTGCTATCAACACCTTGTGTTTCTATTTCAAATATACCAACCTTACACTAGGGTGTGAAGCACCGCCCCAGCCGCAGCCCGGCTGATTGTTGTCTAATGATTTATTTCAAAAGAGATTTAACCCTTGGACGGCGGAGGGTTCTTTCCCATAGCGGGACAGAGTCGGATTATTTTTGTATCCTCCTGAATTTTCACTTTTTGGAAGGTCACCAAAACCCTTCCAGGTGGGCTGAGGCAAAGTTGGGACTAGTCCAAAAAAAGCTGGTAGCCCAACTGATAATTTTTTTTTTTGCCAGCAAAATTTTTCTGTGTTCAGAGAAAAAAGCATTGGGATTTTTCCCGACTTTGCCCTTGACCACCTGTTATCATTTGTTTCCAAACCTCCCTGAGGTGCCACACAATTTTGCGAAAATAGTCCAACTTTGCCGCACAAGGGTTAAAGCTAAAACCTCTACTCTCACTTCAGAACTAAAATCTGTTCCAAACAATTTTCTCCACATCTGAGTATAAAAAGGATGAATATTTTTGTGGAAAGCATCAGACCATTTTTAGCTGCGAAATCTGAAGGTTTTCCTCTCATCTTGGGAATTGTTGTGAAATAAAATTGTTGTTAGCAGAGTTCTTGCCTAAATTATTCTTCAAACATTGGCTCTGCCCAAAGCCCAGCATCAAATTTCCATCTAAAATAAGCACAGGATGAAAAATCAAGCTACACTCACCATAATAAGCAACTCGATTTGCCCTTTCCCCGGCTTGAGGAAGTGCCAATGACGAGGATGATGCATAATACTGAACAAACAGCAGCAAATATGTCAATCGGGACANAGATTCTTGAATTATTTTAGAGCTTTTAAAGCTGGGTTTGCTGCCTGTTTTCCTTTTATTATTAGACAGGAAATAAGGAAAGGGAAAGGAGTCTTTATTTTAGTGCATGGTCTGCTCACCCCTGGAGGCAGTGGGGACCTACTGGTTTTATGACTGGTTTTCTTAGAATTGCAAGGTTTTATTTTACCAATGCTTTTTCTTAGAAATTAGAAAATAGTTAACCCTTGGATGGAGGAGGGTTATTTCCCATCCCAGGTCAAAATTCGATTATTTTTGTATGCTGGGGCATTTTAAGTCTTCTGAAAGTCAGAAAAGACCTTCCAGGTGGGCCGAGGCAAAGTTGGGATTAATCCAAGAAATGCCCGTTGGTTAGCATAGAATTGTTTTTCCCTCAAAATTTTTCTGTGCAAAACAAAAAAACATTGGGATTTTCCCCAACTATGTCCTCAAATCCCTGTTGTCCTTTTTTTATTTTCTTCCCTGAGGTGCAACAAAATTTTGTAAAAATAGTCCAACTTTGCCGCCCAAGGGTTAACAGAATCCTGGACAGATTAGAATGACGCCACTGACAGTAATGTCTGAATACATCTGGAATTCCATGGGACCAAGTTTGACCTTGAGTTCCCACAAGAGTTTGGATTCTTGGGGAAATCCTGAAGAAGGGATTATTTTGTTCATGGACAAAATTTTGCAAAAGGAAAAGGTTTAAATACCAGATTGATTGCATGTAACATCATCAGTTGCTCTGGGTCAATCTCATGCAAAAGACTACTGCATTGTCAAAACTATGGAACTGCTGCTATCAACACATTGTGTTTCTATTTCAAATATACCAACCTTACACTAGGGTGTGAAGCACCGCCCCAGCTGCAGCCCGGCTGATTGTTGCCTAATGATTTATTTCAAAAGAGATTTAACCCTTGGACGGTGGAGGGTTCTTTCCCATAGCGGGACGGAGTCCGATTATTTTCGTATCCTCCTGAATTTTCACTTTTTGGAAGGTCACCAAAACCCTTCCAGGTGGGCTGAGGCAAAGTTGGGACTAGTCCAAAAAAAGCTGGTAGCCCAACTGATAAATTTTTTTTTTGCCGGCAAAATTTTTCTGTGTTCAGAGAAAAAAGCATCGGGATTTTTCCGACTTTGCCCTTGACCACCTGTTATCATTTTTTTCCAAACCTCCCTGAGGTGCCACAAAATTTCGCGAAAATAGTCCAACTTTGCCGCACAAGGGTTAAAGCTAAAACCTCCACTCTCACTTCAGAACTAAAATCTGTTCCAAACAATTTTCTCCACATCTGAGTATAAAAAGGATGAATATTTTTGTGGAAAGCATCAGACCATTTTTAGCTGTGAAATCTGAAGGTTTCCCTCCCATCTTGGGGATTGTTGTGAAATAAAACTCTTGTAAGTAGAGTTCTTGCCTATAAATTCTTCTTCAAATGTTGGCTCTGCCTAAAGCCCAGCATCAAATTTCCATCTAAAATAAGCACAGTGTGAAAAATCAAGCTACACTCACCATAATAAGCAACTCGATTTGCCCTTTCCCCGGCTTGAGGAAGTGCCAATGACGAGGATGATGCATAATACTGAACAAACAGCAGCAAATATGTCAATCGGGACACCATAATTCTTCAGCCTCACACTTATGTCCTATTTGTGTAGAAATTTCTGAAACCACACCCTTTTTTTCCGAGCAGGGTAACAAATAAAAAACCAAAACCTATTCCAGACGTCCGCACAACCCTGGTTCAGGGGCTGGAGACCCAGCACTTAAAAATCACTTATATGAGTAATTAAATACGTAAATAAACTATACGACGAGGAGAGACGGAGGAATTGGACGACAAGGAATGCGAGGATGAAAGAGAGGTACGATGAATATCCTGCAAAAAAAAAAAGGAAAACGAAAATTAAATGCACAAAAACTTGAAAGTTTTGCGGATAGAGAAATTAAGACCACATTTCTCGATTCCATTTCAATTTTCAGCCTAAACTCCAGCAATAAGATATGAATAAGCAATGGACGCTTCAACATTAGATGAATTTAGAAAAATACCTTAAAATGTTAAAATTATATTTGAATATCCCATAAAAATAACATACAAAGGAAGACAAAAACCTACTCTCTTTTTTGAAAAAAATGTAATGCTATTTTTGGTTGCCAACCTACATTTTTTTAGAGCTTCTAAATTCTTCACTGCATTGAATTTACTTAATTTATGGTTGGTTTTATTGTTATTTTAGGCCTAAGTCAGCAGTGAGACAACTTGAAGGAAAGTTCCTCTTATGTACAACTAAGACTCATTTTCAAATTAAATATGATCTAATGAGACCCGGAGATAATTTGAAATTTCACAGCCCTAATTTTAATATGTCTCACATTTAATTTCACATCACATATTCAAAGAATGAAAAATTAAAAGAACGAATTAACAAAAAAATCATTCAGAAAAACATACTTCATGAAACAATGTTCGGCACAATCAAAATACAGCATTTAAAAGCTTGTATGAAAGGCACAAATTAATTATTCCAAAGAAATTTTATGACACGGTCAGCAGCAGACATTTTTGCACTCAAACTCATTCCCTTAATCTGAACAAAATAAAGTCCGTTAACCGAGGCTGTGCAGCATTAAGTTCGCGAGTTTCGATTGTCCCGGGGTATACACACATACAAGGGTTGTCCCAGTTGAACACGACCTCTAATACTTTTGGACAAATGGGTGTGATGGTAAAAGTAAAAAATGAACCATGACATAGCCAATGATGTTCTTATAGATCCTGAGATTTTGGTTAGGCTTAAAAAAGAGTTTTTCAATTGACTGCATGATGATAAGCAAAAACTCTCAAAATAACAGCCAGAGTTCTCCAGCACCCATGTCACAGCTGTAGGGTGCTTTAAATTTGTCATGCTATATTATAGCTAAAAAAAAAAAAGCAGTTTGTTGTTGTTCTTCAAGCATCATCAAAATCTAGAAAAGATCATGGATAAAACAAGAAAAAAGTTAAAAATTTAGTTAGCCAGACAAATTTTTTACACTCTGTGACATGAGTGGAGTATCCTGGCTGCAACTGGAAAGTTTTCCATTATTATCATCACAATAAATTGAAAACCTTTAAAAATAAAATAAAAAACCTTTGAACATCCTTGACTGTGTCAAGATTTTGTTTTTACAATCACTGCTACTAAAAAAAAATATCACTGGTCGCGTCTAATTGGGACAACCCTTGTATAATTATTTTTTTCTTTTTCAAAATGAATCACTTTTCTCTTTTTCGAGTTAGAAAAATATCTCCTATTAGTCTTTCGATACAATTTGAGGCACAGGAAAAAAAAAAA